GCACCACTCTCTGAATCTATAGAAGGAGGCAAATCCCATCTACCTCTTTTGATGTGCATATGAGAATATATGTGAACTTTCTCTATAAATTACAAACATCAAAGGACCATTTTAACACCAAATTTCAATCTCTCTCATTAAAATTAAAACTTCTTCGGGGTGTGCGTGGGGCTCAGTGGGTTAAGCATCTGACTCTGGGTTTGGCCTCGGTTCCTGATTTCTTGGGTTGTGAGACTGAGCCCCTGGTAGGGCTCTGTGGGGAGTCTGCTTAAAGATTCTCTCCCACTGCCCCTCCCCCTACTCTCTCTCTCTAGAATAAATAGATCTTTAAAATTAAACTTCTTTAAGTTTATTGGGGTGCTTATGTGGCTTAGTTGGTTAAGCGTTCTTTTTTTTTTAAGATTTTATTTATTCATTTGACAGAGAGAGAGAGATCACAAGTAGGCAGAGAGGCAGGCAGAGAGAGGGGGAAGCAGACTCCCCACTGAGGAGAGAGCCCGATGCGGGGCTCAATCCCAGGACCCTGGGATCATGACCCGAGCCGAAGGCAGAGGCTTTAACCCACTGAGCCACCCAGGCGCCCCAAGCATTCAACTCTTGATTTCAGTTCAGGTCATGATCTTAGGGTCTTGAGATCCAGCCCAGCATCTGGCTCCACGCTCAATGCGGAATCTGCTTGAGACTCTCTCCCTATGCCTTTCGCCCCCACTCACACTCTCTCTCTCTCTCTCTCTCTCTCTCGCTCTCGCTCCCTCCAAAATAAACAAATCTTGGGGCACCTGGATAGCTCAGTCAATCAAGCATCTGCCTTCAGGTTGTGATCCCTGAGTCCTGGGACTGAGCCTAACATTGGGTTCTCTGCTCAGTGGGGACCCTGCTTCTCCTCTGCCTCTGCCTGCCACTCCCCCAGCTTGTGCACTCTCTCTCTCTCTAATAAATAAATTTTTAAAAAAAATTTTAAATAAATAAATAAATCTTTTAAAAATTTTATCTCTCCTTCCCTTTGCCCCTCCCCATCATACTCTCTTAAAAAAGAAAGAAAGAAAGGGAGGGAGGGAGGGAAGGAAGGGAAAGGAAAGGAGAAAGAAAGAAAGAAAGAAAGAAAGAAAGAAAGAAAGAAAGAAAGAAAGAAAGAAAGAAAAGAAAGTCAGTCCTTTAAATTTATTAATTTCATAGTAACTCTCCGGACTGATTGATCATTACCCTTAAATACCATTTCGGGTGGTTTTACGTAGCCCCATTATGATGTGGGAACATATGAGAAAGAGATTTAGTTGGAGTCGGAAAGAATTTCTATTCAGTACCAGAACAAAGAGGGAAAGCAATTAGAACAATCTCTCAGATCCCTTATGGGCAGATCTAGGAATCCTGACCTCTGAGTGAGCCCGCAAGGAGCTGGGCAATCTCAGATCTATGCTGTATAAATAAATCAGAGGAGGCTCCTTCTCCCAGCAGAATGAGTCTCTGTGACACAGTAACATCCTCTTGGCCACGCACCACTCTTGTTTACCTGGACACTTAGAATCCACAGCCTGTAGCCAACTCTCACCTTTGCAACGTAATTTCCTCTAAATAATATTGCACGGACAGCTTCAACAATGTCTTCTCTAGCTAATGCCTAAAATTACAGAACTGAGTATTCGGATGTAAATCCTAAAGAAACCAACCAGAATCACAAAACCCATTTTATTTTATCAATAGTTTTACTGTGTATCTACTGCCTGTTACCTCAAAGACTATTTTATAACTTTTTATTAAGGTAATTTTCAAACATGATTCTCTGTGAACCCATCACCCAGGTTCAATAATTATCAACTCAGGGAGTCAATCTTAGTTCATCTAAATCCCTGCTCACTCTCCCCGGCCTCCCTACCCAGATTATTCTGAAACAAATCTCTTACATGTCATACCATTAAATCATATTTTTGAAGTACTTAGAAAGCTTACTAATTAAAGGGATCCTCTATAAAATGAATCCTCTTTTCAGGCATTCAGGCCCTTTAAAGGGCCCTTGAAGTTTCTGACTTCTGCTGGTTCTCTTTATAAGTCAAAACCTCTTTTTAAGTAAAAAAGAGCCAGTTAGTGGCAGCTCCTGGCCTAGGACCAAGATCGTCTTACATCTAGAGACTTGCTGCTTCCATTATGAGTTTGGGTAAAACTGACGCACTTAAACCTCACCTTAGGGTTTTTCATTTGGATCACTATGAACTGCTTTTCCAGCTTTTATGCTTATAGAACTAAGTAGGAACAAATGGGAAGGCAATAAAAATCCAGTATCTGGAAGAGAAATGCTATGCCTAAAAGAATTAGTGTAAAAAGATCCAGGTTCTTAAAACTATATTATTCCATCTTTGGTTCTGCCACAGTGAATGCATCAAAACAAACTAACCCCCAAACTCAAGTAACAAATCTGTGAATAAGAGAGACCTCGAAAAGGAGAGTTGTAGTTTTATCCATACATTTAACAGCTACAAGTGAAATCTAAAATAATATTCAGATAGCTATTTGGGTCTTCAAAATAAAACTCTCTTGGTAATATAAGCAGAATCTTGCTTTAAAGCCTTCTTATTCTAAGACAGAGATTAAGGGGACCCTGGTTGGCTCAGTCGGTAAAACATCTGCCTATGGCTCAGGTCATGATCCCAGGGTCCTGGGATTGAGCTCTGCCTCGGGCTCCCAGCTCTGTGGGAAGTCTGCCTCTCTCTCTGCCACTCTCCCTGCCTGTGTTCCCTCTCTAGCTGCCTGTCTGTTAAATAAATAAAATCTTAAAAAAAAAAAAAAAGACGGCAATTGAAAAATCATGTAAAATAATTAACTATTTTCCCCTGATTCTATAAACTTAAATCAATCTATTTGAAGTAGAAACATCTATTTTGACAAATGTCTTGGAAAACCACATTTTTTAGCCATCCTATTAATATTAGTAATAAATGTTATAAATACTATTGATCACGTGTCCAACTTTTGAACCACCTTTTTAAAGGAAATAAACAGTTTTTGCTTTCAATAATTACTTCGTCATTTTGCCAGAAAACGTAAGGAAGGTTAATGATTTCTGGCAGCATTTGTGAGACCCACAGTTTTCTGTGTGCATACACACCAATGCTAAAGGTCTCACTGCTCTTAACTGCTACCATGGCAAAAAAAAAAAAAAAAAAAGGAAGTATCCACCAACTTTTCTTTACAGTGAGACAAATTATAGAATCATATAAAATAATGAAACTTCATGAGGAAATCATTGCTTTAGGGCTCCTGAGTTGCTTGGTAGGTTAAGCCTCTGCCTTCAGCTCAGGTCATGATCTCAGGGTCCTGGGATCAAGTCCCACATCAGGCTCTCTGCTCAGCAGGGAGCCTTCTTCCCCCTCTCTCTCTCTGCCTGCCTCTCTGCCTACTTGTGATCTTTGTCTCTCAAATAAATAAGTAAAATCTTTTTAAAAAAAAAAACAATCATTGCTTTACCATACCCTTAAGTATCAGAATTCCCTGGGGCACGCAGCCACAGCCGGCCGGCCAACTGAACCACACACTTGGCCACCTTTGATCCTGGATCATTCATTCCCATTCACAGAAATTTTTCTCTGCCAGGAGCTGTTCTAGTTCTGGGGACTACAGCCATGACTCAGACAAAATAGCTCTCAAGGGATTTATGTCCCATCACCCAAATGACTTACATCCCAAAACACCACGTTCCTTTACCTCCATGAAAGCAACGGACTCTGTCTCAGGCCGTTCTTTCAATTTTTCTGTCCTGTAATGTTCAACATAGTTAGGCACTTTCTTGGAAGCCATGGATAATAGGATCCCTGAGGAAGAGAGAGTAATCGAAGAGACTTCGCAAGACAGAAAGCAGTTTGAGTTCTGAGTAAAACAAAACAGAAATCCATGGCACCCTAGAGCCTGTTTCCAAAGGGGTGATTATGCCTCCCCCACATGTGGCCGCCGGGTCCTCCCGGCTGGCAGGCCTGGGCCAACACCCACCCCTGTCACCGTGGAGGACCCCCACCCTCACCCCCGCTCCCTGACCACCACCCCTAAGACCTAGGGCCTCCCCACAGGCTTCTTCCCCCCTCAGTGGAGTGCCTGGCCGGCTAACCCACCAACCCACTTCCAGCAGGTGACCAGTGACCTAGAGGATTAAGGGAGGGAAAAGAGAACGTCCTTTTCAAACCAAACTAAAGCACTGGGCTGAAACTGGAGCCCACTTCCCTGGAAGCCCCCGTCCCAGTAAGGGCCAGTCAAGTGTGGGGGAGGTCAGGGAGGAAGAGGGTCCGCGCACATGGGGCCTTCAACTGCCCAATCCAACGCTACCTTATAGTTTGTTTCAAATTAGTTGACGTCTTATAAATTCATACTACAGAGAATAGACAGTTTTCCTGTATGAACTAGGGCTACGATTAGGAGAGGGATGATTTTTAGTGTCCCCTTTGCCTAAGGAAAACAAAATCCTGTCATCTTCCCCTGACTGGGGATCACACTCAACATGAGCCAAAGGGTGACACACAGAATCAGAATCAGCAAGTGGGTAATCATACTCAAAATGAATTCTTAAATTTTCTGAAGTCTGTTAGAAATACCTGGGGAAGGGTGCCTGAGTGGCTCAGTCAGTTAAGGGTTAGCCTTCAGCTCAAGTCATGGTCCCTGGGTCCTGGGGCTCCCTGCTCCAGTGGGAGCCTGCTTCTCTGTCTGTCCCCTGCTCCTGCTAATAAACAAATAAATAAGATGGAAGAAAGGGAAAAAGAGAGAGAAAGAAATATAAAAAGAAAGAAAGAGAGGGAGGGGAAGGAAGGAAGGGAGGGAGGAAGAAAGAAGAGAGAGAGAAAGGAGGGAGGGAGAGGAGGGGAGAGAAAAGGAAGGGAAGGGAGGGGAGAGGAGGGGAGGGGAGAAGGGATAAAACAGGGGGAGAATGTGAGGCAATGGGTTTTAAGGGTACCTGATGGAAGGAGCTATAACTACCTTGATTCAGGAAAGATCAAGTGAAGTGAGACGGGCACTCAGTAAGGTAGCTATCATTATTTTTATTGGATTTTTCAGGCAATATTTAACATTTACAGAAAATACACTGGCAATAGCCATCAATACATGGTATTGTGATTCCTTAACTATCAGACAGACACTGAACTCAGAAGGTAAGTGGTTGAGCTCCTTCCTTGGTCCTCACCATGAGCGAGTCCCACGGGCAGATGACTTCCTCCAGAGCAGCCTTCTTTTGTGTCCCTCACCAATCAAGGATCAGGGTGTACACTCCTTGGTTGCTAAAACCTTTTAAAGGTGACAGAAAAGAAGAGTTACGTGTGATACAGGAATGGGGAGCCTACAAGAGCAGAAAGAGTTCCTCAACCCAGCAGAGCTGAGCCACCCTGAAGTCTTGTCCTTCCAGAGCTGAGTGACTCCTCTCTCAGGCAAAGACCCACCTAAACCCACCTCAGCCTCTCCTCATTCTCTCTGGATTCAAAACATGCAGAGATTTGGGGACAAGCCAACCCTATTATGGGGTGGAGGGGTAGATCACTGATGTGTGACAGGAGTTGAGGGACCCCCCCCCCATGGTCCTGCTTTCAGACTGTCAGGACGTCTGGAGTACTAATTTATACTAGGATTGTGGTGATTTAGAAAATACTACCTTCCTTTCTTCCCTTTTTTCAAAACTCTGAATCTTGGTCCTCTACCTTCACTGTCAACCGACAGATGACTTTCTCACTTGAGTAATGAAGTGAACAGAAATAAACAATGTTCCTTCACAAAATTCACCAAGCTACATCCATGTACTCTGCCTCTATTTGGGTCCAGAATCCCACCTCTTTACAGGTAAAAGGGGGTAGAGAGGATAGGGGAATGGATTTTGGGGGGAGGACTGTTTTAACTAGAAAAGTCAGAGAAGGCTTCTCTGAGGAGATATTTGTGCAGAGGTCACCCAGGTCTGGGTGAACTGAGGAAGTAAGACACGGAGAAATCTGGAGAAAGAATGTTCCTGGTAGAAGGAATGACAGAAGCAAAAGTGTGAGATGGGAGCAAAGTTGGTATGTTCAGAAAACAAAAAAAGGGGGCGCCTGGGTGGCTCAGTGGGTTAAAGTCTCTGCCTTCGGCTCAGGTCATGATCCCAGGGTCCTGGGATCGAGCCCCGCATTGGGCTCTCTCCTCAGTGGGGAGCCTGCTTCCCTTCCTCTCTCTCTGCCTGCCTCTCTGCCTACTTGTGATCTCTGTCTGTCAAATAAATAAATAAAAATCTTTAAAATAAAATAATAATAATTATTATTAAATTTTTTTTAACTTTTAAATTTTTTTTACTTTGAAGTTGGTGAGTTTTATATCTACAAATTTTTATAAAAAAGAAACCCAAATAAATAGCATTACCTAGCTTTAATATTAGTTTCATTTGTAATTGCTTTGCTGCTTAATCAAACAGTTGAGTGGGGTTCTTTCAGAGTAAATGTCTGCCTCACAGAGTTGTCCATTGTGTCTTCCTAAGGAAGGTCTAACTGTCAAAGACAAATATGCTTTCCCAACCCCTGATGCCGTAACTGGGATGTTTCCCTAAGTCACAATCTAATCCACCTCTTTTCCAGAGGGAAGCTCAGAGATTTAAGCCTCTAGTCTACAATATAGGCCCTCCGGTACCCAAATACGCAATATTCTCCTTCATAGCTGGGTTCCACTCTGTTAGAAGAGATATTTGAGAACAAAAGCCCTCCTTTTATATCATACATAGAAATTAAGTAGGATTTAAATGTTTACTATCATAAAACCTGACCCAAACAGATCCATGAGACCTTGGCCGTTAGGGATTATAGAGAAACTTACTCTTTTGAAACCTAGGATTCAAGAGTGATTCTGACTCATTCCATCTTTTAAGGCCTTTAGCTACCAAGTGAACAGGGCTTACTTTCAATACTTCTATTATTCTTGAATTTAAACTCCCATTCAAAAAGCAGCCAATTATTAAACTACCCCTCTAGGACACTGAGAAACTCACAGTGTCCACCTCCATCTCTAACAGTCATCTGTTTCTACAATTAGTCATTAATCATTTTTTCTGCTGCCCATGGCAGCATCAATCATCTCTAAAAAGCCCTCTGGCTTTGGCCACACTGCATTTATCCATCAAATTCTGAGCCTACTCAGAAAAAGGAAAGGGTACTGCAACTTACCTTGGGGCTTTTTAGAAACAGAATTGTACATCATACATGCTCATTTTTCTTCTGCTTTGCTCGGTTTTTTAATTATTTTTAATATTTTCTATTACTATCAACAGCTTTACTGAGGTGTAATTTACACACTACACAATTCACCCATTTTAAGTATAGAAATCAATGATTATTAGTGTATTTAGAACTGTCCAACCAACACCATGATCTAATTTTAGAAAGTCTAAAAACCTCAGGCTCATTTACAATCACTGTCCATCCCCAACCCTAGGCCTAGCCTAACAGTCTACTTCCTATCTCTATAGATCTGCCTTCCTGGACATAGAAGTATACAGTATGTGGTCTTTTGTGGCTGTCCTCTCACAGAGAATAGTTTTGAGCTTCAACCATTTCATAACATAACATAACTTCTCTTCCTTTTAATCACCAAATAATACTCCAGGTATAGATATGGCACATTTTTTTTTTACCCACTTACCAGCTGATGAGTATCTGGGTTGTTTCCACTTTTTGGCTATTGTGACTAATACTGCCATGATCACTCATGCGGACGTATGTTTCCATTTCTCCTGGGTAGGAGTTGAATCGCTGGGTCACAGGGTCATTTAATGTTTCACATTTTGAGAAACTGCCCAACCCTTTTCCATAGTTGCTACACCACTTTACATTCCCTGCGCCAACCGCTGTGGGATCTCATTAGTTTTAATCAGCTAGTTAAACAGATTATGTAACTATACAGAGAAATCTCTTCTTGAATTCCATAAGTAGGCAATTGAGAGGATCCCTCTGTCACACGTAGTACATACTACCACTCTCCTCGTAATATCGCTTCATTCTCGGTGTACCTACTATCCACCAAAACTAGTCGACAATTCCATTTTTCTGCTCCAATTCCAATTAAAAAAAATCTCCTAAACTTTGAGTTGTTAACAGTCTATCTTCTGTCCCTGCTTGTTATTTCTGAATGTGTTAGCAATTTGTTCTTTAAAACCAGAGTTAAGGAGCGCCTGGGTGGCTCGGTAGGTTAAAGCCTCTGCCTTCGGCTCAGGTCATGATCTCAGGGTCCTGGGATTGAGCCCTGCATCGGGCTCTCTGCTCAGTGAAGAGCCTACTTCCTCCTCTCTCGCTGCCTGCCTCTCTGCCTACTTGTGATCTCTGTCAAATAAATAAATTTTTTAAATCTTTAAAAAAAATAAAATAAAATAAAACCAGAGTTGAGGCAAGTCACCACCTCATCCCAACACAGAGGCAGGAGGTGCCCAATGTCATGCAACAGGAGCGTGGTGTATGCCTCAGCACCATTCCAGCAACTTAAAAGGATGGCAGGGGATGGAAACACAGCCAAATATCTTTGAAAAAAGCAAAGCTATGGAAAAACAGACTTACTTGGAAATAACTGCTTTTTCTTCTTGCTGAGCCTCCACAGAATGAGGAACTCTTGTCAAGGGTTTCATATCAAAACTACAATCGTTAAAATTCATTTTCACTTTTAACCTTTAACAAAATAACATGGTGTGAGGATGTTTTTGAAAACAAAACTATCTTATATTTAACAGAAATTATTGTTATATATTGACCGCTATGTACATTGTCCAAAAGACCATTATTTCAAACTAGTATACATTCTTGAGTATTTAAGAGCTACTGAAACTGACACCCCTGAGTGGTTCAGTTGGTTAGGGATCTGACTCTTGGTTTCAGCTCAAGTCATGATCTAGGGGTCCTGAGACCCAGCCCTTTATTTGGTTCCCCGCTCAGTGGGGAGTCTGCTTCCCCTCTCTTTCACCCTCTGCCCCTCTCCCTGCTCCTGTACTCTCTCTCTAGAATAAATAAATCTTAAAAAAAAAAAAAAGATTTTTCTCTTCCTCTCCATTTGTCTCTCCCCCACTCTCCCTCTAAAAAATTAAAATAAAAAGATATAAGGTCTAATATATGTCTAATTTGAGCCCAGAAGCAGAATGGAACAAATAAAGAAAAAGCAATCAAGAGATCATTGCTGTGAATTTTCAAGACTGATGAAAAATGAACACAGAGATCCAGGAAGCACAATATATACTAACAAATTAAATAAAAAGAAATCTATACCTAGAAACCTCTAGTAAGAGTGCAGAATACTAAGACTGGGGCACCTGGATGGCTCAGTCGGTTAAGGGTCTGCCTTTGGCTCTGGTCATGATCCCGGTCCTGGGATCGAGCTCTGTGTTGGGCTCCCTACTCAGTGGGGAGCCTGCTTCTTCCTCTACCCCTCCCCCTGCTCATGCTCTCTCTCTCTCGCTCACTCTAACAAAATCTTTAAGAAAATAAAATTTTTAAAAAGAACCTTAAAGACAAAGATTTTATAAGCAGCCATGGAGAAAGGATGAAAATCAGAGTAAAAGCAGACCTCTCATAAACAACAGAAACAAAAACAAGAAGCATATGTTTAAAGCATTAAGAGAAAATAAATACCAACCTAGAATTTTGTACTCAGCAAATTATCTTTAAAGAACAAGAATAAAGGGGAACCTGGGTGGCTCAGTCATTAAGCATCTGCCTTCAGCTCGGGTCACGATCCCAGGGTTCTCGGATCGAGCCCCGCACTGGGCTCCCTGCTCAGTGGGAAGCCTGCTTCTCTCTCTCTCTCTGTCAAATAAATAAATAAAATCTTAAAGAAAAAAAAAAAAAAGACTGCAGACCAACTAAAATGATTGCCAGCGGCCACCAGTAACTAGGAAAGAGGCAAGGAAGGAGCTTCCCCTAGAGTCTTCATAGAGGGAATGGCACTGCTGACTTCTTGATTTTATACTTCCCACCCCCGGAACTGAAGAAAATACCCAGTTTGTGGTACTTTATTACAACTGCCTTAGGAAACTAATATGTAAGATAATATTTCTCAAAACTGACTTCCTCTCGTGGCGCCTGGGTGGCTCAGACATTAAGTGGCTGCCTTCAGCTCAGGTCATGATCTCAGGGTCCTGCGATTGAGTCCCATGTCATGGGGAGCCTGCTTCTCCCTCTCTCTCTGCCTGCTGCTTCCCCTACTTGTCCTCGCTCTGTCAAATGAATAAATAATATCTTAAAAAAAAAAAAAACTGATTTCCTCTCTTTTCCCTGGCCCTCCAAATCTGGCCACCAAAATCTAAAATTCCTTTGTTTTACCACATCAGTCTCTTCATTTCATTGCTTTTGCCACCATCCTGAGACCTTTATCAAAACAACATAGATCCTTATAAAAACTTCAATGTTGGGGCGCCTGGGTGGCTCAGTGGGTTAAAGCCTCTGCCTTCAGCTCGGGTCATGATCCCAGATCCTGGGATCGAGCCCCGCATCGGGCTCTCTGCTCAGCAGAGAGTCTGTTTCCTCCTATCTCTCTCTGCCTGCTTCTCTGCCTACTTGTGATCTCTGTCTGTCAAATAAATAAATAAAATCTTTAAAAAAAAAAAAAATTCAATGTTCTCCAGCTTCCAGTCCAATCTTATCTCTAATCTGTCATATACAGCATATGCCAGAATAAAGTTTCCAGCATTTCATGCTCTCCTCAACTATCCTCAATGACTCCCCATTCATGACAAAATCCCATTTTTTAAGCTGGCATTAAAGGCTTTTCACAAACTCGCTCCAAAGTAGTTTCACAGACTCACCCAATGACTAGTCATCCACTTAGTCATTTCACACACAACTAGACAGTTGCAAACTGTATGATAAGTGAAAAGTACATGTGTGTCAAGTGATGGGACAAAAGAGAGACTGGACCATACTGACTAGTATAAGGAGGTGGATTAGACATGTTTTACTTCAAGATTATTTTTTTTAGATTTATGTAAGCAATCTCTACACCCAACGTGGGGCTCAAACTGACAAATTTGAGATCAAGAGCCACACGCTCTACCAACTGAGCCAGCCAGGTGCCCCAACTGGGAATATTTGATAGAGGAAGGGTTAAAGTGGCATTTAATAGTCTTGGAAACAGTGTTTTCCTCAGAAGACTGGGCATAGAGCAGAAGACCACAGAAAGGATGTGACAAGGATGCTCAGGAAGAGACCAAGAGCTTCAGGTAAAAATCCAGGGAAACCACCCATTTCCCTGGATTCTTTCCTACTGCAAAGCAAAAGCCTAAAGCTGCTGGGAAGAGGGAAGTAAATCCTACCCCCCAACCACCCCCCGCCCCAGAACAATAAGCCAAGATATGCTGCTTCTGGAAGAGAAGTACAGGCAAAACCTGTTTGCCTATGGAGAAGTAAGAGGGGTACACCTAGGACCAAGGCAAGGATCCAGCGCTACTAGGGTAAGGATAGAAGTAAAAATCCTCTGTTCCACAGGAAGAGACAAGAAACCACTTTAGGTCCAGAATCCTGTACCTAAACCAAGCAGAGATCTGCTACTATTGGAAAAGGGGCAGGAAACTCACCCAAGAACAACCACACAAGAGTTTGGCTGCCACAAGGAGAAGGGAAAGGAACTCTAAGAACATGCTATTCCTGAGGCCCAAGGATATAGAGCATGCCTTAAACTGTGGCAGGATAAGGAAAACAGAAAAAAATTCCTCTGCTCCCACTATGAGCCTAGCAATAACAGGGAAAAGCAGTATACTTCTGGGAATGAAGCAAAAACATGGGAGAGACTCACCCCACACCTCCCCCACACAGCTCTGTGAAGCAGGCTTACAGAAATAGCCAAAAACTGATAGGGGAGAAGAAATGCTTGAGAAAACCCTTCTGGCAAGCCAGCCCCTACCCGAAGCACAAGGTAAGAGCAGCCCAACGCTAAAGGCATTTGAAGCCTCCAGTGCACTAAAAGTAACAATAGCAACAGTAATACCTAAACCCAGCTGAACTTCTGACTAGATGAACCCAATTCTCCACACTAATGCTTGACAGAAGCAAAGGCATATCTGTTTCTAGACATATTCGGTCTATACTGTTCTACCTCTATTTCCTGGTATTCAATAAAAAATGACAAGACATGGAAGAAAAAAGGCTGGACAAAAGAACCTCAAATATCTAGCATTTAATAAAAAATTATAAGACATGGGCTGGGGGGGTGGGCAAGACAAAAAATAATCCATTGTCAAGAGTGAAAATAATCAGTAGAACCACATTCAGAAATGACCCTAGCATGGGACCTATCAAAGAATTTAAAATAACTATGACTAATATGTTAAAGAATCTAATGGAAAAGTGAACCTGTATAAATGGGAGAGTTTTGGGGGTGCCTGGGTGGCTCAGTGGGTTAAAGCCTCTACCTTCAGCTCAGGTCATGATCCCAGGGTTCTGGGATCGAGCCCCACATTGGGTTCTCTGCTTAGCGGGGAGCCTGCTTCCTCCTCTCTCTCTGCCTGCCTCTTTGCCTACTTGTGATCTCTGTCAAATAAATAAATAAAATCTTTTAAAAAAATAAAAAAAAATGGGAGAGTTTCAAAAGAAAAGAAAACTATGTGCAAAAAATCAAATGGAAATGCTAGAAATAAAAATAACATCAGAGACAAAGAATTCCACTGATGGGCTGATCAAAAGATGGGACACAGGGGTGCCTGGGTGGTGCCTTCAGCAAAGATCATGATCTCAGGGTCCCGGGATGGAGCCCTGTGTTGGGCTCCCTCCTCAGTAGGAACCTGCTTCTCCCTCTCCTCTCTCATCTCATGCTCTCTGTCACACTATCTGTCTCTGGCGCTCTCTCTCTCTCTCAAAATAAATAAAATCTTTAAAAAAAGAGAGATGGAACACAGCTGAGGAAAGGCTCAGAGAACCGAAAGATAGGTTAGTAGAAACTGTCCAACTGAAATATAAGCAGAAAAAAGATTTTTTTTTTTAACAGAAAAGAACAAAATAAGAGCTACAGAGCTATGAGACAATATCAAATAGTCTAACATATATATATTGGAGTCTCGGGGGCACCTTCAAGGCTCACTCAGTCAGGTGTCTGCCTTCGGCTTGGTCATGATCCCAAGGTCCTGAGATGGAGTCCCACATTGGGCTCCTTGCTCAGCAGGGAACCTCCTTCTCCCTTTCCCTCTGCCCCACCCACCTACCAGTGCTCTTTCTCTTGTGTGCTCTCTCTCAAGTAAAAATCTTTTCAAGGGGCACCTGGGAGGCTCAGTGGGTTAAGCCTCTGCCTTCAGCTTAGGTCATGTTCTCAGGTTCCCAGGATCGAGCCCCAAGTTGGGCTCTCTGCTCAGTGGGGAGCCTGCTTCCCTCTCTCTCTGCCTGCTGCTCTGCCTGCTTGTGGTCTCTCTCTCTCTGTCAAATAAATAAATAAAAATCTTTAAAAAATTTTTTTAAAAATCTTAAAAAAAACATAATAATAGGGGCACCTGGCTGGGATCAAGCCCCACATCGGGCTTCCTGCTCAGCAGGGAATCTGCTTCTGCCTCTCTCTTTGCCTACTGCTCTCCCTACTTGTGCTCACTCTCTCTGTCAAATAAATAAAATATTTAAAATAATAATGATAATAATAATAATAATAATAATTGGAGTCTGAGAGAGAAAAGAAAAACAAAGAATGGGGAGTAAGAAATAATTGAAGTGAGGGGCGCCTGGGTGGCTCAGTGGGTTAAGCCTCTGCCTTCGGCTCATGTCATGATCTCAGGGTCCTGGGATCAAGCCCCACATTGGGCTCTCCGCTCAGCAGGGGGCCTGCTTCCCCCTGCCTCTCTACCTACTTGTGATCTCTCTGTCAAATGAATAAATAAAATCTTAAAAATAAAAAAGAAAGAATTGAAGTGATAATGGCCTATTTTCCAAAAAAAAAAAAAAAAGATGTCAAACAACAGATACAAGAATCTCTGAGAACCCTAAGCAGGATAAACAGAAAGAAAGGGGACACATACGCACACACACACACACACACTCAGACACATCACAATCTAGCTATTGAAAAGCAAGGAGAAAATCTTCGAAAGTGCCCAAGAAAAAACGAAACATCAAAAATAGGAATAAAGAATTACAGATTTCTCATTTTTTAAAAATCAGAATTATGACAAAATTTTTACCACTGTCTCAAGAACAGTTTCAAATTCCAAAGGTTCTATAATTTCTATTATATTAACCATTACCTGCTCCTTTTACAAAATTCACTTTCTATGTAAGTTGTAGGCAGCTTAAGCCACTCATTTGGAGTCATAAAGTGCCTTGAATTAGAAATTCTTGGGAATCTGGAATGCAGTTTGGCCTTTTCAATCTCTTTAAATTCTTTCATTGTATATATTTTGCCTGCAGGAAGATTATTAACCTAAATTAGCACAATTAAATGCAACTCCCATTGCTCTTGGTTATAAAGTCACATAACAATTAGGCACTAAGTACCAGTCTCACACTGAAGAAGAGTTCTTTTTTCATCATCTTTGTCATATTGTGCCTTTTTCAAAGGATCACGAAATGGTGGAATGGTAACCTACAAGAAAAACATGTCTCTTGAGGACAGGATTGCAGGTCTTTTTCAGTCTAAACTAAGCATCTGTGTATGGCTCTTAGGCCAGATGAATCAAGAATATAGTCTTGGGGTGCTCAGTGGCTCAGCTGTTAAGCGTCTGCCTTCAGCTCAGGTCATGATCCCAGGGTCCTGGGATTGAGCCCTGCATCAGGCTCCCTGCTCAGCAGGAAGCCTGCTTCTCCCTCTCACACTCCCCTTGCTTGTGTTCCTTCTCTCGCTATGTCTCTCTCTGTCAAATAAATAAATAAAATCTTTAAAAAAAGAATAGTCTCTACATATTTCAGAGTAACCATTATATATATTTAACACATTACAAAGAAATGAGGGCCCTCCATCACAGTTAACTCTAAATTTTTTTTTTAATTTTTAATTTATTTGGCAGAGAGAGATCAGAAGTAGGCAGAGAGGCAGGCAGAGAGAGAGAGCTGAGCGGAGAGCCCGATTCAGGACTTGATCCTAGGACCCTGAGATCATGACCTGAGCTGAAGGCAGAGGCTTAACCCAGTGAGCCACCCAGGGGCCCCATAGTTAACTCTAATTTTAATAGCTTTTACAGATCATTCTAATATGAATTGATCTGATTCAGATCAAATATTCTTCTTAGACACTCTACCCAAATGCAATAAGTGGTAGTTTCTTAAAGGTTACGATGTCCAATCTGAAACTGTATCAATAAATTATTCAAACTCAACTACACTAAAATTCATTGGCCTAGCTTGAACTTTGAATGGATCTTTTGTCTATGTCATGGGTTGACTATTTGGAAAAAATTATATCACTGAAGTATGTGAGATTTTCCAAATGTTAATACATTTCATTACACTATAATTACATTCATTAAAATCATTACCACTCTCATCAGAAAAGTGTTAAGGGCATTAGGAAGCCATCACACCCACGATGGTGAATATTTCTCAAAAATTCAAATTTTTGCTTAAAAATCCGTATTTTACTATTAGCAACAAATATTGTCAGCTGTTTTTCCTGAAGTGACAGACTTACTTTATTAAAATGTCTGCCAAACACCCAACACTTAATCACAGATTGTAAGACATTCTTTCAAGTAAAAACAGTGTACCGTTAAAAAATAAAAATTAAACCAGTAGAGCTCACAAGTCATACAATCGTGCTGCATTTCAGTAGGCAGCAGAAATGCTCTTTGCATACTTTCCATTTCATCACACAGAATATTAAAAAGATGTGTACTCAGGAGTAAGATTTAATAAAATTAGTAATTTTTAATGTTTGGTCAAGGACATCTTAAGTGAAACTAGATTTTACTGTGAGTGCACGGCAATGAAGATGATAATGACCACGAGTTTGATTTGGTGACACCGACTTAATAAGAAGTTCTAAGGTACCAGCAGTTTTACCCACCACTGATTTTGCCCCATCAGAGCAAATGTCAACATTATGAAAAAGGCAAATGATATTCAGCACTATTATTATGAAAATTTTTTTATGAAAATACTTGGCCTTATGGACCCCTAACAGGCTTTCAGGGTTCTCAGAGGTCTATATTCCTCTTTGAGAACTGCTGCTATAACTTCAAATGCTCAGCTAAACTTAAAAGTCACCTATCACCTCATCATTTAGAAAGGCAGCATGGTAAAAGAACTTCAATTGTGATACAAAAAGATGTGGTTTCAGGGCCGCCAGGGTGACTCAGTCCATTAAGCCTCTCGTTATTTCTGCTCAGGTCATGATCTTGGGGTCATGAGATCCAGCTCAGAGCTGGGCTCCACACTCACTGGGGAGTCTGATTGAGATTTTCTCTCTCTCCCTCTACCCCTCCTCCCTTTGGGGTAAGCATGCATGCTCGCTCTCTCTCTCTCAAATAAATAAAATACTTAAAAAAAAAAAAAAGACCAGGTTTCAAATCCCAGTTCTGCCCTTTACTAGTTATGTTACTAGCTAGTTTATCTAAGGCTCTAGCTATAAAATTTCAGTTTAACTTTCACCTGTTAAAAAAGGGACAATAACACATACACACAACCCAATTTAGCAAAACAAAAAAAACAAAAACCTGCTTTGTCTGCAAATGCCAGCAGTTTAAAATGTCTATGATTCAAATGAGGTCTATGGCTCAAGGATTTTAATTTTGTTTAATAATATGCACTCTTATCAGCAAAAGTGTGGGAAAATGGACTCTCTGGTGGGGGTACAAATTTATACAGCCATCCTGGAGAACAATCTGGCAATATAGATCAAAATTATGTATAACCTTTAACTCAGCAATTCTACTTCTAGCAATTTACCTATGGAAAACCTTATGAAATAGTTACAGGTAAGTTCATCATAACATCATTTATAACAGCAATAGGTCAAAAATAATCTAAATGTTCACAGTAGGGAATATGTTTAAAAAAATGGTGGTATAGCAAGATACCATATATAGCTAGAAACACATCTACGCTTTGCTATTTACAGCTGTGTGACTCTGGAAAAGTAACTTAACCAATTTGTGTCTCACTTGCCTCATCTGCAAATTACATCATGTGGCAGCAGTGAAGATGAAAAAAAAAAAAGTCCTCACATTTGGTTAAGCCCTCAGTGCAAGTTAATATTTTTTTAAGATTTATTATTTTATTTTTTTAAGATTTTTATTTATTTATTTGACAGACAGAGATCACAAGTAGGCAGAGAGGCAGACAGAGGGTGGGGGGAAGAAGGTTCCCCACTGAGCAGAGAGCCCGATGCGGGGCTCAATCCCAGGACCCTGAGATCACAACCTGAGCCAAAGGCAGAGGCTTTAACCCACTGAGCCACCCAGGCACCCCAAGATTTATTATTTGAGATGGGGAGAGTGGGGAGAGGGAAGAGAGAGAATCTCAAGCAGACTCCCCACTGAGTGCATAGCCCAACTCAGGGCTCGATCTCATGCCCTGAGATCATGAATGACCTGAGAAGAAATCAAGAGTCAGAGGCCTAACGAACTGAGCCACCCAGGCACCCCAGCTGTTATTAACAGAATACTATGCGATGATTAAAATTATGTATTTACATTTATTGACAAAGTTCTTTCTTTCTAAGATATGGATTAAAATTATGTATTTACATTTATTGACTAAGTTCTTTCTTTCTTATTCCTTTCTAAGATATGGAGATGGCAAAGTTCTTTCTTTGTCAATAAATGTAAATACATAATTTTAATCATGCTTCTTTGCAAATCATAGAACTATTGAGGAAAAAAAATGCAGATTATAAAACATAACGTGTGTTACAACAATTTGTAAAATAAAAATGTGTATATACAACTACATATAGAAAGTAGTCTTGGCTATCCAGAAGGATATACCAAAAAATGTTAATAAGTTCATTCTGTGTAATGAAATCGTGAGGGTTTTTTTTTAAGATTTTATTTTATTTTGTTTGATTTATTTGAGAGAGAACGAGAAAGAGAGAGAGAGAGAGAGACAGAATATGAGTGGGAGAAGGAGGCAGAGACAGAGGGAGACACAGACTCCCCACTGAGAAGGGAGTCCCACACAGGGCTCCATCGCAGGACCCTGAGATCATGACCTGAGTCCAAGGCAGACACTTAACCAAATGAGCCACCCAAGTGCCCCTTAGACTGGTTTTTTAATTCTTTATTAAAAAATAGATTTTGAGGGCACCTGGGTGGCTCAGTTGGTTGAGCAACTGCCTTCGACTCGGGTCATGATCCCGGACTTCCAGGATCGAGTCCCGCATCGGGCTCCCAGCTCCTTGGGGAGCCTGCTTCTCCCTTTGACCTTCTCCTCTCTCATGCTCTCTCTCATTCATTCTCCCTCAAATAAATAAATAAAATCTTAAAAAAAAATAGATTTTGATGGGGGGCACCTGGGTGGCTCAGTCGGTTAAGCATCTAACTCCTGACTTCAACTCAGGTCATGATCTCAGGGTCAGGAGATTGAGCCCTGCATCCATGCTGGGCAAGGAACCTGATTAAGATTCTCTCTCTCTCGGGGCACCTGGGTGGCTCGATGGGTTAAGCCGCTGCCTTCGGCTTGGGTCATGATCCCGGGGTCCTGGGATCGAGCCCCACATAGGGCTCTCTGCTCAGCGGGGAGCCTGCTTCCTCTTCTCTCTCTGCCTGCCTCTCTGCCTGCTTGTGATCTCTCTCTGTAAAATAAATAAATAAAATCTTTAAAAAAAAAAAGATTCTCTCTCTCTCTCTCTCAAAAAAAACCTTTTTTTCATGTATCATGAAAATGGTATTAAATTTCTAACAAATTTTTTAAAGTCTATGAAATTTTAAAATATTACCTATTACCCAATTATTATACAGTATTTTCAAATTTTACAGAGGTTTAATTTACTTTGGACTTTACTTTTTTATTCCTTTCTAAGATATGGAGATGGCAAACTATTCTTAAGATGTAACTGCATTCTTAGGGAATCACTAAATAACTACTTATATATTAGGGCTACTCAGAATAACCAACCACATAATACCAAAAATAAGAAATCTATCCTACCTTCAGAAAATTCGGGTCCTCTTTGCTCATATAAAAAGGATCATATTCTTTGGGATCATAATGTTCTATAAATACATTTCCCTATAGAAAGGAAATAAAACTACACATAACAAGAGGTGCACGATTAATTTTGAATGTTAACAAAACTCAAGAGTCACACAGTTGCATTCTTCTACTTCAAAACACCATGAATGACAAATACAAAGGGGAAGGGAAGACCAAATTTGAAATTAAACTTAATGTAACCAAGTAATAACTATTATAGTGACAGAAGGAATCCACTTAAAATTTGCAAGAATAACAAATGTTGGAACACTAACAGATTTGGAAATTTATTTTTAAAAATGCTTCCTAGTCAAACATCTCGATCTCTTAGAAAGGCCAAGACAAATATTTTACAGTTTTGTAAATAACGGAGTTCTAGAACTATATATAAATATCCTGAACCTGGATGTTTATATATAGGAACCTGGCCAAAATTTAATCGGTATATAAAATTAACAATTACATTTAAAAAGCAAAAAATACAGATTCTAATGTACACATTTAAATCCAGACCTAACCCTCTTCCCTCCATCCTTTCCACATACCCTGGATTTAAGAACAGTATACGCCATAACAGAGATTAATATAGAGTCAGAAGAGGCAGGCTGTTTGGACGATTATAAAGATAATCATAGCTTTAAACCAACTGAAACAAGTATCAAATGACCTCTTCATACCTTTTTATTTACATATTTTAAAAAACCATCTAATTCTTCTTGTCTCCTTTTTTTAATCTTCTTATATGAACCAACTTTTTCTATAATCTTCTTCTGGAGAGGATGTGCAACATGGTCAACCCATCTTTTATGTAACATCTCTTTTCTCCTTGCCTTTAAGAAGTCATGATGTTGTAAATACTTATCTAGTTCCTAATAAACAGTGATGGAAGAGACAATTATCTTAAAGCTATGTTGTTCTAAACTTTAAACTCAATTACAGTCCTAAGAATAACCCACAAAGTCATTCATTAATTCAATCATTTATTTGGCTTCTACTGGGTGACACATACCATAATGGAAATAGTGAATAATACACAGACAGATTAGACAACATGCCTGCTCTCCCTAGAGAGACAGACTACGAAACAAATATACAAAACAATTGAGGGACAATATACCAAAATATATACACACACACATGCTAAAAACAGAGACTCAGATACCTGCACATCGATGTTCATAGAACCATTATTCACAATAACCAAAAGGAAAAAACCCATCTACAGATGGATGTATAAACAAAATGTGGTATATATACAAAATGGATTATTAGACAGCCATAGGATGGAATGAAGTTTTAACACATGCTTCAAAATGGATGAATCTTGAAGACAATAATGCTAAGTGAAATAAGCCAGACACAAAAGGACAAATATTGTAGGATCCCACTTATTTGAAATTATTTAGAATAAGCAAATTCAGAAAGAGAAAATAAATTAGAGGTTACTAGAGAGACCTCTGGGGCAGAGGGGATGGGAACTCATTACTTAATGTGTATGAAGTTTTGGCTGGGATGATGAAAAAGTTTTAGAAATAGAAATAGATAATGGTGATGATTTCATGACATCCATCTATTTGGAAATAGTGATAATGGTTGTACAACATATGAATGTAATTAATGTCACTGAACTGTACCTTTAAAAAAATGGTTAAAGATAGCAAAGTTATGTTATATATATTTTACCACAACGGGGAAAAAAGGACTAAATTTTTCTTTTTAATTCCTAGAGGGGGAGACATTCGGGATGGGCCTTAAAGAATGAAGAGTTGTATAGGAAGAGGAGGGATGAGAGAATGTGGAAGAGGTATATACTATGGAAGGAAAAAAAAAAGACAAGCGTGAAGAAGCAGGAGCACAGCACAACCTGGCCAAAACGGCAAGCAGCCACCAGAGAAAACCATTGATTTAGGCTATAAACTAAAACTTCTTATCCAAAACGTATCTACTTCTCCTCTAGGAAATGAAATCATGTGATTGCTACAATCAACAACATGAAATTCACAACCAACCAACCAACCAACCAGGAACCCTGAGAGCTTCTCTAGGCTCTATCCCCCCACAGCTTCATGTCATAGCAGTTTTCAACCATTCTTAATGAATAGCTCCTTTCCTTTTTAAACAATTCCAAAGAAAATTTTTCTTTACAGGTTACCCACTCCAGTGTTTACTCTACATGCACGTTCATCTTGTCTTATAATTAAGCCCATCCTCTTACAGTTAAAGCCTCCTTCCTACCTGTGCATCCCTGAGTAATTATTGGTCAGTGCGTTCCAGTAACAGCTCTTAAAGCTCTTAATACACACTGACTCCACAGAAGTCCCACTAGATGAAAGCACAAGCTGGGGAAAACTCTTACAGAATCCCCACAAAGTATAAAAAGAGAAGTCAATTAAAACAATCTCAGAGATCGCTTAAGGTTAATCCTAGGGGCTAAGGAGTGTTTTCAATTCTATTTTCTCTATTTTTTAAAAAATTTGTATAATGATGATGTACTACATCTAAAATGGATAAATAAAATTTAATTTTTAATTGTGACACATTCCGTAGCCAATTCTTACCTTAATCACATAATTTTCTCTATATAATATTGATTGAATAGCTGCATCAGTATCTTCTTTAGCTAATGCCTAAAATGACAAAATGAAATTTTGAAAATCCAATCTTAAAAATAAAATTATTGGGGTACCTGGGTGGCGCAGTCAGTTAAGCATCTGACTCAGTTTTGCCTCAGGTCATGATCTGAGAGTCCTGAGACTGAGCCCCATGTCAGGCTCTGCACTCTGTGTGGAGTCACCTTCAGTTTCTCTCTCCATCTCCCTCTGCCCCTCCCCACCCCATTCTAAAAAAAAAAAAAAAAATTTAAAATCATATTATTAATACTATCTGGACTTGCTTTTATGTGACAGACATATCCCTGGAAAGTTCCCTGTAAATACAATTTTCCTAACTTCAAATCAGATCATCAAGTACTTTTTTCTTTCCTGTAAGACTTTTAATTTATGTGTGAGAGACAGAAAGCACGAGAGGGGTGAGGGTCAGAGGGAGAAGCAGACTCCCTACCAAGCCAGGAGCCTTCATCAAGTACTTCTTAAAGGGTGTTTGAATCTTTCCATTATTTGCTTTAGCTCATTCAGGGGCAAAAAATAACTCAGATTACAGACATTTTGAGTTCCAGCATGGTCAAATGACTTGCCCAGAGTTGCACGATAAATAGAACCCATCTTTTTTTCACATTTCATAAAATGCTTTTACCTTTATAAATTAAAATAGAGGGGCGCCTGGGTGGCTCAGTGGGTTAAAGCCACTGCCTTCAGCTCAGGTCATGATCCCAGGGTCCTGGGATGGAGCCCCACATCGGGCTCTTTGCTCAGCGGGGAGCCTGCTTCCTTCTCTCTCTCTCTGCCTGCCTCTCTGCTGATTTGTGATCTCTGTCTGTCAAATAAATAAATAAAATGTTTTAAAAAAAAGTTAAAATAGAATTAGGCCTCTATTTGAATTCATTCAGTCATTACTGAATTCTACTTTAATTCATTTAGTCATTACAGCTTCAAATATTAATAGATTTATTTATATACAAGTTGTATTTTCAGGGTTTTTTTGAAGATTTATTTATTTGTGAGAGAGTGCACATAAGCATGTTGGGGGGGGCGGTTTAGCAAATCCCAAGCAGAATCCTTGCAGAGCGTAAAGTCCAAAGCAGGGCTCTATCTCACAATCCTGTGATCACGACCTGAAATCAAGAGTCAGACACTTAACCAACTGAGCCACCGAGGCATTCCACATTTTCAGATTTTAAAGCAACAGTCTTCACGAGATAGTTCATAACATTAATTTTTTCCACTTTCATAACAAATCTTCCATGAATACCCACCAGAAAATACAAGAGGCTGTAAACAGATTACTGAAATTGTACACTTAAAAATGGTCAAAAATAGGGGCACCTGGGTGGCTCGGTGGGTTAAGCCTCTGCCTTCGGCTCAGGTTATGATCCCAGGGTCCTGGAATCGAGCTTCGCATCGGGCTCTCTGCTCAGCAGGGAGCCTGCTTCTCCCTCTCTATCTGCCTGCCTCTCTGCCTACTTGTGATCTCTGTCAAATAAATAAATAAAATCTTTTTTAAAAAATGGTCAAAAATAGCAAACTTTGATGCTATATATCTTTTACCACAATGTAAATATGATTAATTTTTTTTAATTTCCTAGAGTGAGAGACATTTGGGATGGGCCTTTGAAATCTTCTGACAATTATACAAAAACAAAATATTCTCAAATTATCAATCATTGGAAGTAGCAGTCTTCAATTCCACTACTCTTGTTTTCAGAACAGATGAGTAAAATCTCAAAACCCAAGAACTAACCTTCCCAAGGATGGTTAACACCCAGGAAATTAAGAGTCATGGGAGTTAGCCAAGAACTAGAAGCCCAGAAAATCCTGCACTGAGTCAGAATTTAAACTCAAGTAAAGGGGTGCCTGGGTGGCTCAGTTGGTTGAGTGACTGCCTTTGGCTCAGGTCATGGTTCCGGGGGTCCTGAAATAGAGTCCTCACATCAGGCTTCCCCTGCTTTGTGGGGAGCCTGTTTCTCCCTCTCTTTCTGCCTGCCATTCCCTCTGCCAGTGCTTGCTCTCCCTTGCTGTCAAATAAATGGATAAAATCTTTTTAAAAAATGATTTAGGGGTGCCTGGGAAGCACAGTCATTAAGTGTCTGCCTTCGGCTCAGGTCATGATCCCAGGGTTCTGGGATCAAGCTCCATATCAGGCTCCCTGCTTGGCGGGAAGCCTGCTTCTCCCTCTCCCTCTGCTTGTGTTCCCTCTCTTGCTGTCTCTCTCTCTGTCAAGTGAATGAGTGGAATCTTTAAAGTAATAAAAAAAATTTTTAAATGATTTTTTAAAAATTCATAAAAGGGGTGCCTGGGTGGCTCAGGTGGTTGGGTGTCTGCCTTGGTCTTGGGCTGTGATCTGCAGGTCCTGGGATTAAGCCCCACTTTGGGCTCCAGGCTGGGCAGGGAGTCTGCTTCTCCCTCTTCCTCTGTCTCTCCCCTGGTTTGTGCTCTGTCTGTCTCTCTCTCAAATGAATAAAATTGTTTAAAAAAAAATTAAAATAAAAAAAATTTTTTTTAATTAAAAAAAAAAACCCTCCAGATTCATTTTCTTTGCTCTTTCCGTCTCATAGAGTTGCTATTCCTGGCAAATCTGTTGTTCTCAAAACCAATATGGGTACTGAATTAATATTCTAGACAAAAATATAAAAAACAATCTGAAGATGCTGGAGACTGACCAAAAGCAGAGAGAAACAAGAATGTAATCAACCCTCGGAAAAAGACCGTAACATTGGTAGAAGTTTTAACTTTTTATGGACTTTTGTCTAAGAGCAGGCCTCCATCAGAGCTAAAGGTGAGAGCTCAAACTCAGAAACGAGAAGTTTTACAGAATTCAAGAATTAGAAGACAGGGGGACCTGGCTGGTCAGTCAGAGGAGCATGCAACTCTTGATCTCAGGGTTGTGAATTTGAGCCCCATGTTGGGTGCAGAGATTACTAAAAAAAAGATAGACTTAAAAAAAAAGAAGAAAAAAAAATTAGAAGACAGAGTTCAGGGCAATCATAGGAGCTGAAAGTCAAAGGTGAAATACTTGGAACGAGAAAGCTGTAGAGGAGATGCCACCAATTTTACAAATTAACTAACCAAATCCCTGGCAGATTCTTGAACTATGTATGTACAAGGCAAACTCCTTTGGAAAACAGTCTGGCAGTTTCATAAAAAAGTTAAATTCGGGGCACCTGGGTGGCTCAGTATATTAGGTGTCTGCCTTCAGCTCACATGGTGATTCCAGGGTCCTGGGATTGAGCCCCATATCCAGCTCCCTGCTCAGTGGGAATCCTCCTTCTCCATCTTCCACTACCCCTGCTTATATTCCCTCTCTTACCATCTCTCTCTCTGAGTCGAATAAATAAATCAAATATTTTTAAAAAAAGTTAAATTCAGGGACACCTGGGTGGCTCAGTGGGTTAAGCCTCTGCCTTCGGCTCAGGTCATGATCTCAGGGTCCTGGGATCAAGTCCCGCATCGGGCTCTCTGCTCGGCAGGAAGCCTGCTTCCCCTTCTCTCTCTCTGCCTGCCTCTCTGCCTACTTGTGATTTCTGTCTGTCAAATAAATAAATAAAATCTTAAAAAAAAAAAAGTTAAATTCACTTATTACATGACCCAGTCATCCCACAACTAGATACCCAGGAGAAACGAAAGCATATGTCCATGTAAAGACATGTACATGACTATTCCTAACAGCTTTATTTGTAATAGCCAAAAAATGCAAATGACCCAAATTTCCATCAGCAGGATGGACAAACTAGGATATACAGCACTCAACCAAAAAAAAAAAAAAAAAGGGAATGAGGTACTGATACATGCCACAACATGAATGAATTGCAAAATAATTATGGTGCATGAAAGAAGCCAGATAAAGGGAATACATGCTGTTTAAGATTACATCTGTATAAAATTTTTTAAATGCTAAACAAATGTAGTGACAGAAAGCAAATCAGTGGTTGCCTTGAGGGTTGGCAAGGAGGGAAGGATGACAAAAGGGACACAGTAGAAGGAAACTTTGGGAACACTGAATATGTTCATTCTCTTGATTGTGGTGATAGTTTCACATGTGGGAACACATCAAAATTTATCAAACTGTACACTTCAAACATATGCAGCTTACTGCATATCAGTTATAACTTAATGAAGTGGTTTAGAAAAAAATTACAATAGTTTTTAAAAACGCAGTGTTAAAAGTGCTTCAGGACAAATTTTATAACTGCTATATGGAAAACGTAATCATTTGCCATTGATTCCACCTTAAAAAGCAAGTAAATGAATAGCAAACAAAAGTTAGTAGAACGAATGGAATAATAAAGAGCAGAAATTAAATATAAAACATAGGGAAAAATATTAAGCACAAGCCACATCTCAGTACAACTACCCAAATACAAACTTCAAAATGCCATACTACCGTTACCTCCATAAAAGAAAGTGGCTGTGGTTCAAACCATTCTTTCGATCTCTTGGGCTTGTGAAGCTTGTCAGTTAACTGATCATCACTGTCTAAATTTCTCATTGTGGTCACAAAAAATAGAGCCCCTAGGGAAACTAAAAAAATTGAGCTTATTTAGTAATGAGAATTCATAGTCCTTTCTCTTCTGCTTAATTAACAATCCTCGCGACCACGAAGGGTGTGGAACAGATTCTGAATTAGTAGCCACCCACACTTTCCCTAGTAAGAGGCCTTCACCATCGTTTTTGATTATGTCTTCAGAACCACCGTCTTTTAAGCAGGAGAAGTTCTCACTGGACTGACGCCAGCAACCCCGGAATTCTAGGCTCTTTCCATGTCCTTCTACCACACAGCCTGTTCGAGCCGGCGTGGCAATTACCAGACTGGCCTCTAGGGGTCGCACTGCAGTTTTCCTGACTCAGGACCGCGAACCCAGGGAGTTGCAACTTTCTGGCTACTGAAGCCCACGCGAGGGGCTTAGTAGAGAGAGAGGGGCTTTCACAAAAATTTGTGTCCTCAAGTTCTAGGACGCCCAAAGCACCCCCACACACACACACACGCACACCACACCACCACCACCACCACCACACCTCGCCCGCCGATCGTCACCTGAGGGGGATGTCATTAGGGCTTGCGCCCGTCGTAGACCTACAGGACCCACCACCCCGTCCCTTTCCTCCCATCCCGTCAACAAGATTAGTGCCTGCTCCGCCCGGCCTGGCAGGAAAGCTGCAGACCACCCAGGTACCTCAGCTCCCTTCCCAAGCACGCGAGGGGTCCTGCCCCAAGGCCCACGGCCCCGCAGTGGCCGACTGCGACAGGAGAGTGCGCCCCCCAGGGCCTGCGGGCCCGTCAGCTTGGGCCCGTCGCCTCGGAATGACAGAACGTTCGAGTCCAGTGTTTACTTGACGTAGCCCCCCGCAACCCCTGCGCCGCCAAAGACGACAAGCTAGAACCCCACTAGCCACCACTGCGACCCCGAGCCCAGAGCAACTGCGCTCCCGAGCCCAGCCCCGCGGAGAAATAACTGGGTACCCGGGTTGGGGCGCTGGTGGGCGGGTCGGAGGTAGCGAACCACACCGAAGCGCTACTCGGCGACGAGCAGATATTGCAGCCAATAGCTAGGCACGTCGCCTTTCCGTCCCGCCTTCCCCCGCGCCCGTTGACGGGCCGCCGCTCGGCTCGCGGGCCTTTGGCCCAGTGCGGAGCTGCTTTCCGAGTGCGGTTTTGCGTTCTGCTCACGCTTGGACCATCGCCCTCCCCTAAGCACTCTGTGCGTCTTCCCAGCCAACACGACTGGACGTTAAACACCCCGCTCCCTCGCCTCCAGTCCTTCCTCAGGGACCTCCCACCCCCACCTCGGGCCCCGTGGGCTAAACCACTGCGCAGGGAGTGGCCGGAAAGGGCACTTGCCTTAAGTATCCCGTAAGGACTAGTATTTGTGGAGATTGTCCTTACGAAGAAGGCCCAAATGCTGAAAAGTCCGCTTTAAACGCGTTAAATCCTTTGGATCAGTGCCCATAGTTCGCGGGGATGCTGGTCAGGGGAAAGGACCCGCTGATGTCATTGACCCTTGTTAACTTAGATCCGTGGCTCTGCGTCCCGCAGGTGTTTGGGTTTGGGTTTATAATCTCGGGTGACTCTGGAGCAAATCCTTGGTATAACTAGAAAATTGTGAGCAGTGATTTTTCCAAACTCAATAACCTGCTGTATGAATTGCGATTTTCTAGGATTCTATTTTCCTCTTTGAATATTGGTGGCTAGTACATGATGGACCACCATTTTCACTACTTCCAAAGTGCACGCGCTGAAAACTGTCCAAAGTGTCTAAGGAGACTTGTATTCGCAGGCCTTTCCAAAGCTAGCCAGAGTGAGTTGTTTCAACTGTAGTTCCCCTTTTCAGAGCGGAGGGAGCATGAGCCATCTGCAGAACTTACTGTTGGATACCCTTCTGGGAACAAAGCATGTTGACAGTGCAGCGCTCATCAAGCTCCAAGAACGAAGCTTGTGTGTAGCATCACCAGGATTTAGTGTAAGGAAAAGCAAGTTTGGGCATAAGCTTTTTTTTTTTTTTTTTTTTAGAATTTTTTTTATTTATTTATTTATTTACTTACTTACTTATTTGACAGAAAGAGACACAGTGAGGGAGGGAACACAAGCAAGGGGAAGTGGGAGAGGGAGAAGCAGGCTCCAACCCAGGACCCTGGGATCATGACGTGAGCCGAAACGCAGACGCTTAATTAACCAACTGAGCCACCCAGGCACCCCAGGCATAAATAAGCATTTTATCAAAAGTTTTTCTGTAAAGAGCCATAGTAAACATTTTAGATTTCTGGGCCATGTGGCCTGAGTCACAACTACACAACCACTATGCAGTTTGAGTGGGAAAACAGGCATACATAAAAGAATGGGTGTGACCATGTTCCAACAAATCTTTATTTATGAACACTGAAATTTGAATTTCATGCAACATTTACATATCACAAAATATTATTCTATTGCTTTTTTCCAATGACTTAAAAATGTAAAAACTATTCTTAGTTTGCAGGCCTACAAAAACAGACAGTGGGCCAAATTTGGCCAGCTTGCCATAGTTTGCCCACTCATACTCTATTTAACTTCTGCAGATAATGCCTCATGACGTTCGAACACTTGTGAATGGATTCGCCAAGAACCCTTTGCAAACTAGAAGAGAAGGATTGTATTTCAAGGAAAAGGACTACAAATGTATCCGGGCTGATGACTATTCACTTTATGCTAAGAATGTGAGTGTTCACAATTTGAAGACAGCTAGGTAAAAAACCTTGAGAAAAGAATTTGATTCCAATATGCTGTGTCCCCTGATCCGATTTATAAAACAACCTAACCCCATTACTGCAGTGACAATGTCTGAGACAGCAGTCTAGTATTTAGGAAGACATGCGTAAAATAAAGTAGGAACAGGGAGCCTACTTGAGAAACATTCATTCCAAAATCTATCAACAGAAACTTGCCTGAAGTATCTCTTTTCACTACTTTATATGCTACACGCTCCTTTTAAAAAAGAAAGAAAGATAACATTCTTATGCTTAAAACTTCTCCTAGCTCTATTACCTATAGGGAAATAAGATAAAATTCACATTTACTGGATGGCCTATCTTGTGGGTTAAGCACACTTCATCTGCATTCTAAAGTAGCCTCATTTTACTGGAACAAGTAAACACAGCATTTGCAAGGTTAAGTAAGTCTTCTTTAGTCAGGCTGCAGGAAATGCACGTGCTGGGATTCAAGCCCAGAGATGTCCAATTCCAAAATCTATTACTTTCTCATTTTTAAAAAATATTTTATTGGGGCGCCTGGATGGCTCAGTAGGTTGAGTGTCTGCCTTCTGCTTGGGTCTTGATTCCAGGGTCCTGGGATTGAGGCCCCCGTCGGGCTCCCTGCTCGGCAGAGCGGGCTTCTCCCTCTCCCTTTGCCGGCCATTCTGCCTACTTGTGCTCTTTCCCTATCTGTCAAATAAATAAATGAAATATTAAAAAAAATTATTTATTTGACAGAGAGAGACACAGATAGCCAGAGAGCGTGAGCAGGGAGAAGGAAAAGCAGACTCCCGCTGGACTCCCACTGAGCAGGGAGCCTGACACAGGGGCTTGATCCCAGCTCTCTGGGATCATGACCTGAGCTGAAGGCAGACGTGCCACCCAGGCTCCCCTGTTATATCAGTTGTTCTCACTGGGATGGGGTATATTCCAATCAGTGGAACTTTTTCAAAATACACATGCTGTTATTACAAGTCTGAAATTTTTTGAGCAAAGACAACTAAATTAGTGGGAAAAAAGTGAAGAGTCCAAAACCAGATATGAGTGCATGGAAGTAAAAAAATGGCACAAAATGTGACTGGAGTGTAATTGCTAGTCCTGTGACTAGAACTGAAAGAAGGGCATTCTGTTTTACTCTTATCCAGGAAAACACAGGTGTGGTTGTTGTGAAGACCCATCTATATCTTCTGGTGGCAACTTACACTGAAGGCATGTATCCTAGTGTCTGTGTGGAAGCGACAGAGAAGCTGGGTAAGTTTGTCTCCCCATGCCTGTCTTTGTTCCCTATGACAAAGATCTGACTGCCAGTCACTGAGCGCCAATACAAACCACGCAGGGTAGAAGGGAGGGATTTGTTGGAAGGATACTGGGTTACTCACAGATTCACTGGAACAATGGAGCGGAACTGAGCCACAGTGAAAATGGACTCCAGGGACAGGAATACTGCTAGAATGCTTCTCTAGTCTCTGTTTCTAAGAGGGTCAGTTTTGTTCCGTCCCATTGCAAGCCTTCTTTCCTGGCCGGTATCATGGCCAAGCCTCACATCGTGCCTCTTAATTTCTTTTAAGACCCTGATTTGACAAGTCTTGGGTCATATGGTTTCCCCCTATATCAGTCATTCCACACTCCCCCACCATCTATTAGCTGTTGGGGGGCTAAGGGTGAGTAAGGCAGCAGGGTTTAAAAAAAAAAAAAAAGAAAAGTAAAACCAGAAATTTCACCTCTGGGGGTCACTCTATGTAAAGGACCCTTTCCAGGAAAAGAAATTACTGAGCCCTGCAGCTACCTTGTTGAGGGCTACTGCATTCCCCCTCCATGTCTTTATGTCTTTGAATGAAGATCTAATGTAGGACTAACTGGAAAATTCTATCTATGAAAGTTGAGTCAAATAAATAAATAAAATCTTTAAAAAAAAAAAAAGAAAGTTGAGTTTAATGACAATAAATTATGTTTTAGATTTTTTAATTTTTTTAATAAACATATAATGTATTATTAGCCCCAGGGGTACAGGTCTGTGAATCGCCAGGTTTACACACTTCACAGCACTCACCATAGCACACACCCTCCCCAATGTCCATAACCCCACCACCCTCTTCCTACACCCCTTCCCCCGGCCACCCTGTTTGTTTTGTGACATTAAGAGTCTCTTTTGGTTTGTCTCTCTCCTGTTCCCATCTTGTTTCATTTATTCTTTTTCCTACCCCCCAAGCCCCCCACGTTGCATCTCCACTACCTCATATCAGGGGGATCATATGATAGTTGTCTTTCTCCGACTGACTTATTTCGCTAAGCATAATACCCTCTAGTTCCATCCACGTCGTCGCAAATGGCAAGATTTCATTTCTTTTGGTGGCTGCATAGTATGTTTTAGATTTTTTAATGTAAAGTTAAATTCCTAAAAAAAAAAAATTGCTAGAGTTGCTTGAACACTCCTTTGAGATAGTAGAAGCCCCTACTTCTACTAGTGAGGAAAGCAGCCTTTCTTTCATTCTTTCAACAAATATTCAGTAATGATCTCTTATGGGTCCTATACTATCCTAATAAAGCAAGAAAGTCAAAAGTTGTAAACAGATAGAGTCTCTACCTTTCATACCTCTATACATGCTGTCCTATCTCTAGTGTCCCTTTCTGTCCCTGCCCTTTCACATCCAGTTGTCACATTTTTTTTCTAAAGATTTATTTATTTATTTGAGAGAGAGAAATCATGAGCAGGGGGGAAGGGTAGAGGGAAAAGCAGACTCCTCTCTAAGCAGGGAGTGAGATGTAGGACTCAGTCCCAGGACCCTGGGACCCAGCCAAAAGCAAATGCTTGACCCACTGAGCCAGCCAGGCTCAGACAACCCATTAGTTGTCAAATGCTTAACCATCATTGAAGATGCAAGTGAAATCTTCAGCTTCTCTCCACTATGCTACCTATTTTATGCATACGCTTATTACTAGAGTTCTTTTTTATTGTTAGAGCCACTAGAGTTGTTTGTTTACCTGGACTGTGAGCCCCTAGAAGATAAGAATTGTGTTTTAATCTCCTGTCTCTGGTACCTAAGAGTGTCTACTGTTGAGTAGGCAATTAGTACATGTTTGATGAACAAATAAATGAGTGACCTCTGCCCAGCAGAATCAGGGAATTCTCCAAAGAAATGAATCTTAAAAAATTAACTGAGAAGTTAAGTACCATCACAGAAAAAAATACACACATAAATGTATGTATGCACAGACCTTCCCAGTTGTTAACAATTTCCTGGCATGGAATGTCATAAACCATGCTACATAGCTAGCAATAAGGTATTCTAAGAGTGAATAGGACAGGACACAACTTTGGAAGCATCTAACAGAAGGAGTGAACTCCAACCTGGGAGAAGCAGGCAATTGCAATACCAAGGACCTTTTCTGAGCAAGTGTCCAAAGTTTGAGGGAGGTTCAGTTTCAACAGACTAGGGCTGGAGCAGGAAGACAAAATGGAGACCTGTAGATTGGGGCTAATTATCTAATTAAAGGTATTCAGAAAATAAAGCTAGGAAAATGGGCAACTGGGCTGTCAAGAGGCTAGAATCTGTCCTTTCAGCCTGGGCCCAGGGCTAATTCCCCAGGTCTCCTTTGGAGACCAGGGAAGTTGTCTGACCACTGTAAAGTTGATTCTGTGGCTGGCAGTAAAGGTTGAGACTCCTGATAGGACCACAAAAGACTCCAAAGAGAGTGTACTGGTTAGAAGGAGATAGCTGGAATCATGCTACTAAAATCCCACTGCTCGGGAAGGGCTGGGCTGATCTTGGAAGTGGTTGGATTCTCATGAGGGATGGCTGAGGCTGAAACCTACTCAGGAGCCAGTTACTTGTCTCATTACTTCTGTTTCCTTCGCTTGTTTTTCTCATAATTGTATTTCTGTCAAAAAATTCTCCATGATAATTATAGAAAATTTAAGAAACAGAGAATTATGACTATTTAAAAATGTTTTATTATGAAAGATTCTAGGAGATATATGTATGTTTGAGAGCAGGGAGTGAGTCTTAACTATTCAGTCATTCTTGTATCTCCAGAATCTAGCACATGGTAGTCACTCCCAATGTCTGTGGAATAAATATAATGAAGCACTTTGTGGTGATAATTTGTTGCTCACAAATAACAACCATGTTCTTTCCCTTTTCAGGAGAATATCTAAGAAGAAAAGGAAATTAAGTCATCAGAGGACTATGAAAGACAGCTGTCATTATTTTAAGAAATAGATCCTAAAGAAAAAAAAAATCATGCCTTCTTTTGTGGTTGAAAACACTAGGAAGAAGATACTAAAGAGGAAGAACGAGTTAAGGGAGCAATTTTTCTTATTTCAAGAGATCTTCTTTTTTAATTGGAATTCTTTGATAAGCTATACTTGGTTTGTTTAAATGTTGGTCATTGACATGAGTATGAGAAACCTGCTATCCGCCCAGGGCATATCTGTTGAGAGACTCCTCCCTGAGGGTCTTGTTCTCCCACACATCTTGCTGGGTATGCCAAGAATGCAAGGCTCTAACAACTCTTCATCCAGGCCCTTTCTCAGGGTGATTTTGCAGGAAGCAACCTTGAACAAGGAGGTAATGCCTCCCTTCAGAACAAAGAGCAAACTTTCTTACTGCTTACTATAAAAGAAGTAAGTTCCCTGAACTCAGAGCTGTAATGCCACTCACTACATATGTGACATCCATCTGGTCCACACCACCCCTGGAGGACTTGGGGAGAAGGGCAACACAAAAGCCACACTTTGGGCCACAAGTCAAGGTATTTAACGGACGTTCCATGCTCCCCACCACCTACAGGCATCTGATTTTGTTGAACATGGGGAAGGCCTTTCAAAAGTCAACTCAAAAGAATTTTTAAAGAATCAACTCAAAAAGATTTTTCACTACATCTTCTTGACTTCCTCCTAGTCCACACAACTTAGTATGGTTAATGAATGTGACCTTCTCCAGATAGGGTTCATCTCCTCTTGGTCACTTACTGGGTGACCAGGACAATAAGGGTAGGGAGCTATAGAACCTATTTTGAAAATTCAGGATTCCACCCTGATCATTTCTGGGCATGATGCACCTTTCTTTCCCCTAACGGCAACTCCAGACCAACCTGGTTAGTACACTCTCAGGTATTCCTGAGGAGAGAACACCTTACACCCCTGGCATCGAGTCTTAGACCTCTTGCAGTTCTTGACATGATCAAGCAGCAAAGTACAATTTTCTGAATTCCAAACATATGCTATCTGGGGCTCTCCATGTAGACCTGCCTATAGATTTTGGCATCAGTCCTCACGTGAATGGTTTCTCCTTGTAAATCAGCACATTGACATCATGTGGATTACATACTCAACTCTCCACATGCTGTCAAGCTGGGGTTTTGAGCCTGCAAGGCAGAAGGTCTGACTCTAGGTAATGTCTGAAGTGCTAGAGGCCATCATGAAGCCTCTTGCCCGCTCACCAGCTCTTCCTGGACACATGCCCACTGCACTGCTGGGATCCTCCTGGGGCCCTTTTTGTAAACTTCCTCAAGGGAAGTGTCTCACTGTCTAGAGCCCTTCTATGCAGATCTGTCCAGTTACGTTCTGAAATTCTCATCACAAAGTTCCAACTAGGTCCAGCTCTTCAGAGAGACCCACGAAAGTGACCCTTTGGTGGTAGCCGGAGTACTTGGAGAGGTTCCCAGGGACTAGATGATCTTCTGAAACAGTGGGGATCTCCAAATGAGGGAGATTTGTGTCCTGGTGGTCCACAAACACTTTAGAATGGGCACACAGGTGCAAATGGGTTTAAGTGATTAATTTTTTTCCCAGATCCTCAATTTCCATATGTACTTGCCACGACTGAGGAGTCGTCTCAGCTCTAGCTTCCCACCTGCCCTCCCCAAGCTCCCTTCCCCCAGGATAGAAAAGAAAGGGGTACTCTCATCCAGCCCCAATCTTACTGTGATGCTTGGCCTGGAGTGCAAAACCTGCAGTGTGTGAGGGAAAGGAAAATTCTAAATATTTTTTAATGTCTTAAAATCCATCCTCTGTTGTCAAAAATCACATCATATGTGAGGGAGAGATCCATGAGAATAAAGTAAAAAGCATTAGTGAGACACAATGAAAATCTGTGCATCATTTGTCTTAGGAAGGTTCTATGTCTTACCTATCTATTTTCTTAAAATTCAGAAGCAAGATGATTGTCATAGGACACGTATTAACAATGATTACTTGGATTGTGAAATGAGAAACCTTCTCTGATAGGAAGTAATTTTATTTGGCTGATTATTTAACAAGAGAACTGGCTTTGCCAATAAGAACATCACAGAGGTTTTTCATAATTAATCTGCAGCTCCCAGATGTTAATGAAAATATATTTGAAGTATATGATGAGGTAGAAGGACTTGATTTTTAAAAATTGTCTTAGCCTCTGAGAAACAAACTGAGGGTTTTGGAGGGGAAGGGGGTAGAGGGATGAATGAGCCCGGTGGTGGATATCAAGGCAGGCACATATTGCACGGAGCACTGGGTGTGGTGCATAAACAATGAATCTTGGAACACTGAAAAAATTAAATTAATGTAGTTGGAAAAAAATTAAAAAATAAAAATTGTCTTAGCAAAACTGTATTGAAATTAACATTTTTACTTTCTGAATCCTTTGTGAGTATATCAATTTAAACAAGGTGTCTCTAAGTGAAAAAACAGCAGCTATAATTGATAATCATTTGATAAATCTTCACAAAGTTTTGTTAGTATGACGCCAGATGCTAAGACCCCGAATGACACTTATAGCTGTATAACAAATCCTTAACAGGTTGAGTGGTTTTCAAGTCTTTGCTTTCAACAAAATTGAAGAAAGACCTAATTAAGTTGCCAGCTCATAGATCACTGAAAATAATTTTCAATGATAGATCATTATATAGTTTTTAATCATATAACTCAGAGGTATTCAGAGAATTGGCTGACATTCCTATAATGAAATTTCTCTTTCCCATCTAATTTATGCAAATTATATTCCTCAGAGCTTGTCTATAAAAATGAAAAATAGGAAGAGAATTAATGTTGATCCCAGTCTAATTCTAGCAATGAGGAATATTCACCACAGACATAATTACTTGGAAAAATTCAACCCCACCAATGGTCATTAAGAGCTATCTTTCCAATAAAATTTTACTTTCCATGTTCAATAATTATTAATATTTCAAATAATACTTAAAATATAAAAATTCAAAATAATGTTTTGATCACTTGTGGACTAAGAATATTGTAATGATAATAAAATCCAGAAGAAGTTGGGGTACCTGGGTGGCTCAGTTGGTTAAGCGACTGCCTTCGGCTTAGGTCATGATCCTGGAGTCCCGGGATTGAGTCCCGCATGGGGCTCCCTGCTCGACAGGGAGTCTGCTTCTCCTGCTGACCTCTCTCCTCTCATGCTCTCTCTCTCTCTCTCTCAAATAATTAAATAAAATCTTTAAAAAAAAAAAAAATCCAGAAGAAGTTGAACACTTAGAGCCCCGTGGTCACAGGAAATCACTTTTTAAATTACAGTACACATTTTTGTTCCAGATAAGAATGATCAATAAAGTATAAAATATAGCAATATATAATTCTATGAGAAAAGTAGAATGAAAATAGGAGTACTAGAAGAAAGATTACATTTTAAAACTTCCAACTGTTAAAGAACTGTTTTGCACATTTTTACTGGATGATTATAAATATCAGAGTGCTCTGAGGGGGCGCATGGATGGCTCAGTTGGTTAAGTGTCTGCCTTCAGCGCGGGTCATGATCCCGGGGTCCTGGAATAGAGCCCCACATCGGGCTCCTTGCTCAGTGGAGAGCCTGCTTCTCCCTCTCTCTCTGCCAGCCATCACTCCCCCTCCTTGTATGTGCACGCTCATGCTCGCTCTCGCGCTCTCCCTCTCCCTCTCTCTCTATATCTCTATGTCAAATGAATAAATAAAACCTTAAAAAAAAAAAAGGCAGAGCAGCAGGCAGAGAGAGACTAGGAAGCAGGCTCCCTGCTGAGCAGAGAGCCCGATGCGGGGACGGGGTGGGGGGCACCTGAGATCATGACCTAAGCTGAAGGCAGAGGCTTAAGTCCCTAAGCCACCCAGGTGCCCCTCAACTTTATTCTTTTTTAAGATTTTTTGTTTATTTTTTGAGAGAGAGAGAGAGCACAGAGGGAGAGGGAAAGTGAGAGAGAGAAGCAGGCTCCCCACTGAGCAGAGAGCCGGATGCAGGGCTTAATCCCAGGACCCCAGGATCATGACCTGAGCTGAAGGCAGACGCCTAACTGACTGAGCCACCCATGCACCCCTAGATACCAACTTTAAAATTTAAGAGGGCACAGGCCTAGTTTTTGAAAAAGTTTTGTCTATTTGAGAATAAAGTGTGAAGACTACTGCCCAGGGCAAGAAGTGCCCTGGACATTGAGTCACATGGATGGGTGCCCAGGATGATGGCAGGGGCAGGTAGCCAAAGAAACAGTCCCCACAAGATGGGGCAGAGGACCCTGCCAGGCTGCTCCAAGCCTTCTCTCTCTCAGAGCTCTCCCAAGTCCCTGCTCCTGGGATTTGCCCCACCAACCTCAGGGGGGAATGCCCATGGAGAGAGGGGAGAAATCACCCAGAGAAAGCCCTGCAGGCACGAAAGCTACCACGAACAACCCAGCCCCAGCTCCTCCAGGGAAAAGTGGCAGCCCTTACTCTCCTCCAGAACGAGTCATCCTTGAGCTGCTGGGCTGCCAGAGTGCTGGCTTGGTCACCAGAGAAGCTTTGCCTCAAGGTGACACAGCAGCACTGTGCAAAAGCCTCTGAAGGGGCTAGGACCCCGCTGGACATCTGGAAGAGATTATTCTAGGCCTCCAGCCCCATTTAACTTATAGCAGCAGCAACTACACCTCAGAACAGTACCTCTGCCCCATTCCTAATGCAGAGGATCTTGTTTGTTCTGCTAAATATATACCTTTGGGGAGCCTCATTAGAGGCCAGAGATGTGGGGGACTGTGAAAAACTGCCACTGCAAAAATTACCAGCCAATTCCAAAATTTGGATCTTGACAGGGAATTACAGCAAGATATGCTTTAAGGAAAGCAACTTGTGGGCACCTGGTTCAAAGCCGACAGCCGAGAAAGAATTCTTGACATCTTTGGTGCAAAACGGTGGTTTTTGGTTTTGTTTTGTTTTTTTTTTTTAATTTGAAAGACAGAGATCACAAGTAGGCAGAGAGGCAGGCAGAGAGAGAGAGGTAGGGAAGCAGGCTCCCTGCTGAGCAGAGAACCCGATGTGGGGCTCGATCCCAGGACCCTGGGATCATGACCTGAACCGAAGGCAGAGGCTTTAACCCACTGAGCCACCCAGGTGCCCTCAAAACGGTGGTTTTATTAAAGCACGGGGACAGAACCCATGGGCAGAAAGGGCAGAAAGAAGACCCCACGTCAGGAGGAGTGGCCTATTGTATACTTTCAAGTTGGGAGGGGGTTAGGGATAGCATTAAGTCTCTAAAGAATTTGGAAGCAAGGTTTCCACGACCTTGAGGGGGCTAACTATTGTTGGGAAAAGGTCATTTATTACTGTCTAATAAAACCTTAGTCATGAAGCCCTTCAGATGTGTATCAGTGGGCCATATGCATGAGCGGGGGGGCGTAGTTCCCAACACGTATTTTGGGGGGTTTAGAGAAAATGGAAATTTTCCTTTTTAAGATTATATTTATTTGACAGAGTACAAGTAGGGGAGCAGCAGGTGGAGGGAGAGGGAGAAGCAGTTTCTCTGCTGAGCAGGGAGCTCGATGCAGGGTTCCATCCGAAGACCCTGGGATGATGACCTGAGCCAAAGGCAGATGCTTAACTGACTGAGCCATTCAGGTGCCCTGAGAGAAAGGAAATTGCTAAAGGAATTTTTATATGTTAAAGTAGACTTACAGGATTGGGGGTGGGGCGGGGGGCTAGGATTGTCTTTTGCCCTTAGCAAAGTATTAACATCGAGGCAGTTGAGTCCCTAGGAGAATGTCACTCTGCCTGTTTCAAAGACTTGTCAATGGGCTATAGGTAGTAGGGAAATGTAATCATTTTTCTTCTGCCTTTGTTTACCACATCAGTGTGGGGTCCAGAGCTGACAGCCAAGAAAGAATTGTTGAGACACCTTTTGTGCAAAATGGTGGTTTTATTAAAGCAGGGGGACAGGCCCATGGGCAGAAAGAGCTGCTGTTCCCAGGGTTGTGAGGGGTGGCTGATTATATACTTGGGAGTCGAGAGAGGGAAGGAAAAAAGAGGTTTTCAAAAGAACTTTCATATTCAAGAGGACCTACAAGCCACTGGAGGCCTTGCCATTGTCAAGTTAAGATTGTTTTACCCTCTGGCAAGGCAATGACATTAAGATAGTTGGAAGTTGGGGCGCCTGGGTGGCTCAGTTCATTATGTGGCTGACTTCAGCTCGGGACATGGTCCTAGGGTCCTGGGATCGAGTCCCACATCTGGCTCCGGGCTCAGTGGAGAGCCTGCTTCTTCCTCCCCCTCTGCCTGCTGCTCTCCCTACTTGTACTCTCCCTCTCTGTTAAATAAAGAAATAAAATCTTAAAAAAAAAAAAAAAAAGATAGTTGGAAGTTTCCTGGAGGAATGCCACGCAGATCCCACCCAGGAGTGGTGGTTTCAGGGTGTCAGCTTGTGCTTTGTCGTCGGCCAGCCTTCTGCTCCCTCATCACCAGGACATGTGAATTGGATTCCTGGCTTGGCACTCACTAGCCATGTGCCCCTTGAAATCAAATTAATCTTTCTACATCTCAGCTGCTTTTCAGCTGAGCTTTATGAAGACCAAATGAGAATACATGTGAAGAGGTGGTAAATTAGAAGACACTTAAAAAAAGTTACTTGTTTTATACAAGCACACATTTGTGTGGATCCACTGCTTCTTAACTGGGGACAATTTTGTGCTCCCCCCATGCCTGGAGGCATTTTTTTTTTTTGTCCTGACTGGATGGGGCGCTAGTGCTATTAGTGGGTGGAGAGCAGGAATGCTATTAAACACTGCACAATGCACACGACAGTCTTTCAGAATTAAGAATTATCTAGTCTCAAGTGTCGACAGTGGGGCGCCTGGGTGGCTCAGTGGGTTAAGCATATGCCTTCAGCTCAGGTCACGATCTCAGGGTCCTGGGATCGAGCTCCACATCCGCTCCACATCTGAGCTCCCTGTCGCTGCCCCTCCCTCTGCACATGCTCTCTCTCAAGTAAATAAATAAAAATCTTTAAAAATTAAAAAAAAATTTTTTTTTTTTAATCCCAAAGTGTCAACAGTGCCAAACCTGAGAAACCCTGCTGTAGCCTACTCATACAGCCTTAACCAGTCCAACTGCCTCACTGGGCAGCAGCTTCCAGGCGCCGCTCCCTCCTCCCCGGGAGGAAGAGCAGGAGAGGTAAGGATTCCAGGCAGCGCTCACCTTCTCCCTTCCCCCTACTCCTCCTCACTTTCCTCGCAACAGCACCCTGCTTGCCGACCCATACTTAGGATACCAGCCTTACGACATCAGGAGCTAAAGGCCTGGCCCGGCTGGAAAAGTGACCCATCGCCGGCCCAGAGTCCGAGTCCAGTTCCCGAGAGAGAGGAAGTTCTTTCTTCTCAAAGCAGCAAGGGCTGGACCATCTGCCAAAAGGAAGAAAGATTAGTTTCCCAGGCTTAAAAAAAAAAAAAAAAAGAAAAAAAAATAAAGAACAGAACTTGATTCGCTGTCACCAAGTTTGCATCTTCAATGGGGAAGGAGCCGAAGGAAGAGGAGGGTAGGCTCGGGTCAGTCCCACCCCCGGTACTGCCCACAGTGCTTCGCGCTCGCCGCCGAGGCGGTGCTGGGTCCCGGAGTTCTCCCGCAGGGACCCGACGGCGGGGAGCGCAGGACCGCGCAGTGCCGCGGGGAGCAGCGGAGAGCCGCGGAGACCCGGGCCCCAGTAAGTCTCCAGAAACTCACACTCGGGCCCGTGGAGGCGGGGGGGGGGGGTTCCAGCTCAGAGGCAGCGCAGCTTGCTCACGCTCCGGGACGGTGTCCCCACTTCCCCCAGTCCTAACTTGCGTCCTCTGCGAGGGATCCGTCTGGAGGCTGCGGGGACGTCGCGGGAAGGAGGGTGGGGCGCGGCGAGGGTCAGACCTCGTGGAGACCGAAAGGGAAGCCGCTGGCCGGCAGGGGGCGCTGCGCTCCGCAAAGGGCCTCCGGCTCCGTTCCTTGCTTCTACAGTGTCCTCAGAGAACATGATAGCTGTGCACTTCGACAAGCCGGGAGGACCAGAAAACCTTTACCTGAAGGAGGTGGCCAAGCCCAGCCCAGCAGAGGGTGAAGTCCTCCTGAAGGTGGCGGCCAGTGCCCTGAACCGGGCCGACTTACTCCAGGTGCCCAGGGGTCAGGCAGTGGCTGGGGAATGGTGGGATTCCAGGGTCTTCCATAAACATTTACCAGACAGATGAAGGAATGACCTAGGGCATTGCCTGTAACATTCATCACGATGTGTCTGCAGAATGTGTGCTGGGGGTTCTAAGACAGTATACGGGGATATTTACAAAGCAGCATCTACGCTGTGTTAATCCATCATCTGCTCAGGCTAACAGATAAGAAGATGGGAACTACCCTTTGTTGAGGGGATTGTGTGTTAGGCCTTGCTCTGTCTCTATTTCACTCCTCTGGCAACCCTGCTTACCTTCCGCATTATACAGATAAACAGAGTCAGAGGTTAAGCAGTGTACCCAAGGCCATGACAGCAGTAATCCGGGCAGCTGTAATTCAAATCTAGGGCTTTGTGGACCCAAAGTCTGCACTCTTTCTGCTTGTAGGATCCGGGAGATGTAGGGTCCCGGAGCTGGCCAGGGACTATACTCTAGGAGTCTTTTTTCCTGCTGTTTGAAACGCTAAACTAAGCCAGCTGTATTGATTGGGGTAACAGAAATGGGCCAGAATCACCTGGGGGCACTTTTCTTTCTTAAAGATTTTATTTTTGTTTATTTATTTATTAGAGAGAGTGCTCTCACAAGCAAGGGGAGCAGCAGAGGGAAGGCAGAAGTCCAACTGACTGAGCCACCCAGACACCCTTGGGGCACTTTTCAAAAATAAACATGACCACAACGCAGGCATGTATACCTTGACAAAGCTCCTCAAATGGTTCTAGTACACACTCTTAGTTCAGCCCCTCTGCTCTGAAGCCTCCAGTCAGAGGCTTCTGAGGATTGCAATGCGTGAGGACAGAGCCTGGCACTTATTATGAGAACGATCATTAAGAAGTCCATGGTTTTTGCTGGTGGGCACCATCATGGAACCCAGATCTGGCTCTGGTCCCAGGCTACACTTGACTTCCCTGTGTCAATGGCTGAGCCCTTTATCTGTGGGAAATGGGGTTAAATGGAGTGAATGGGGTTTCGGGGGGAAAAAAAAATTAAAAAAAAAAAAAGGATTCCATGGTTTTGTTCCTAAGTCCTGCTACTAATTTACTTTCAGACTTTGGACAAGGCATTTCCCTTTACAGGTCTGTTTCTCCATTTGTAAAACAAGGCATTCGGATAAATAGCTAAGGACCCTACCAGTTCTGACATCCACTGATTATATGACCTACAGTATCTTACTTGAATTAACTTTTCCTGTCTCTTTTCCTGACTTACAAAACCTGTCTTTATCCTGACCTTTTTGAGAAAAAGGGGGGCTTCTGGAAGAGGCCCAGGGACAGTAATGCACACATTCCTGACCATGCTTCTCACTTAGCTCACTCGTCTTTCTGCAGAGACAGGGCCAGTACGCCCCACCCCCAGGAGCCAGCAGCATTTTGGGACTGGAGGCATCTGGACACATAGCAGAGCTGGGGCATGCCTGCCAGGGGCACTGGAAAATTGGGGACCCAGCCATGGTTCTGCTGCCTGGCGGGGGACAGGCTCAGTATGTCACTGCCCCTGAAGAGTTCCTCATGCCCATCCCAGCAGGACTGACCCTGTCCCAGGCTGCAGCCATCCCAGAGGCCTGGCTTACCGCCTTCCAGCTGTTACATCTTGTGGGTGAGGAGGCCCCCCCATGCTCACTCTATACAGTGTGGTTCCGTTACTTGATGACTCAGCTACCTCAAAACCCAGCAGTCTTCTGGGGTGGCTTTGACCTGGCCACTACGCCACACCCAACAGCTCACCCTGATGTACTATCAGTAGTATGAGGTCCTCACACCATGTTACCAATGACCTGATGTTGAGGCTGAAAATATGGTTAGCAGATGGAAAGCCTAGAAAGCGCTGGATAGAAGGCCTGTGCCCATCTTCACACTGTAGGCCCACCAGTAGTCTCAGCAGCGCAAAGTCTCGCTGAGCTTCTCTCTGCAAGCCCTAGTACAGTAGAAGGGGCCAGGCAGTCTTTTATTCCTCCTCAGTCCTGCTGAAGTCAGCCAAGAGGTGATGGGGCCAGCCTAAGATTTGGTCCCTGTTGTCAGGGAACAGAGTAAACCTGGGAAGACAAGGCATGTACAGAAATTAGACAACCATAGAGTTCAGAAGATGGCCTTGTCTCAAGATGGGAGTGGGAGGGAGAAAGGGCACCTGGGTGGTCATTCAGTTAAGCATCTGCCTTCAGCTCGGTTTATGATCCCAGGGTCCTGGGATCAAGCCCTGCATCGGGCTCCCTGCTCAGAAGGGAGTCTGCTTGTCCCTCTCCCTCTGCCCCTCCCTCCAGGGCCTGCTCGCTCTCTGTCAAATGAAAAAATGAAATCTTAAAAAAAAACAAAACTCAAGATGGGAATAGTTAGTGTGGGCACAGGTGGTTAAGAGAGAGCTTTCTGGAAGAGAAGGACTTAAAGGGTGGGTAAAGTTGAGATGTGACAGAAGGCAAGCCTTGGTGGCTTAAGAGAGTGTCCTGGTGAAATCAGCTGCTCCACTCAGAGTGAAGGATGATTATCATCTGTGAAAGATGAGACTAGGACTGGGTTTCAGTGGCCTTGAATGGCACATTGCCCGAACCTGATGAAAGAGCCAGCTGAGAACCACTTTATATTTTGAGGAGAAAGTAACATAATGAAGGCTCCATTTAAGTAAGAGGAGCCTGGTGGTTGTGTGTGGTGACTGGATCGTTGAGACCAGTTGAAGACCAGTTTCAGACTGAAGAGGAACTGGCTTCAGGTGGTGACAGTGGGAATGGTACGCATTCTTTTTTTTTTTTTTAAGATTTTATTTATTCATTTGACAGAGATCACAAGTAGGCAGAGAGGCAGGCAGAGAGAGAGGAAGGGAAGCAGGCTCCCTGCTGAGCAGAGAGCCCGAGGCGGGGCTCCATCCCAGGACCCTGAGATCATGACCTGAGCCGACGGCAGAGGCTTTAACCCACTGAGCCACCCAGGCGCCCCAATGGTACGTATTCTTATCTATTAAGGTACATGTCAGAGATGCGCATCTCGGGATCATTTCTTAAGTAAAACAGATTGTGGATGTGACTGCTAACAAGTGCTTCAAAAGGTTTTCTTCCACTTTGATAAGAGTCAGTAAAACAAAAAAGAGCTGTCATCGTGTTCTCTTAAGAGACCAAGAAACTGGGCATTTGGTGGGCCAGGGCCAGGGGCGTGTGGTAGAATGCGCCTGCGTGGGGCATGTGTAGCACTTGTAAAGAGAATGGTTCCTGTGCTTTGTGCCGCAGGAAACGTTGGGGCTGGAGAGACCGTGCTAATCCATGCAGGATCAAGTGGCGTGGGCACGGCTGCCATCCAGCTCGCCCGCATGGCTGAAGCGATTCCTCTAGTCACGGCTGGCTCCCGGCACAAGCTTCAGATGGCAGAAAAGCTTGGAGCAGCGGCCGGACTCAATTACAAAGAAGAGGATTTTTCTGAGGCAACACTGAAATTCACCAAAGGTAAGCAGTAGCTCCTGCAGCCCAACAGGAATTTCAGAGATGGTTCTGTCAAGTCCTCACCGGCCCGAAGTTTGCCAGTGCTCTGCTAAATACACAGCAGCTACCCTGCCAAGTTCTCGCATTCAGGTGTTTGACCTCTGGAGACAGGCAGGTAGTGTTTAGGACTAAAATGTTTCTGTGTGCATTGTCATAAGGGATAGCATTCATACACTTTCCAGAAACCGGATGAGTCGGAGAGAGTTGGACTAGAATTAGCCAGGAGCCCTTCTTCCGAGTCACTCTGCAATGAGTTAACAGGAGCTTGGTGTGGTCAGAGTAGGGTTAGGATGGTAGCTCTCTAAAGGGGTGAGCCTCTGTATTCCCAAGCCAAATGTGTCTGTTTTTGGCTTATCCCTTTCCATTTTTCGCGTGAGTTAAAAAGGAAACGTGAAACGAACACCTGTAAAATTACGATTCAGATAACCCAGCACAGACATTTCATAATTTAGATTATGATAATTTAGCCTGTCCTGTAGACTGGGCGGACCTCCCCTGTTCTGTTTTCATTTGTGCCTGGTTGACTGTGGGTTTTGTACTTAATGGGGATCAAAAGAGATAAACCAGGTCGTGGTGTTGCCCCATTTCCCTCTTGCTGTGGCTAGGAATCATAAAACATGAACTACAGCATACATGTATGATAAAGTTCAGTTACCTAAACTCCATCTACAACAGTGTTTCTATGAGCAGTGCTTCTAGTTCCAACCTACAGATTTTACCACTCCCACCTGCATATATACCCATATATTCACAAATATGCTATGGAATCTTACTTTGCACAAAGCCTTCTGTGTCTGATGAGCATTACAAATCTGTGTTTCCTGTGAAAGGTGCTGGAGTCAACCTTGTTCTAGACTGCATAGGTGGATCCTACTGGGAGAAAAACGTCAACTGCCTGGCTCTTGACGGCCGCTGGATTCTCTATGGTCTGATGGGAGGAACTGATGTCAGTGGACCTCTATTTTCAAAGCTACTTTTTAAACGAGGAAGTCTGATCACCACTCTGCTGAGGTCTAGGGACAAAAAGGTGAATGATGAGTGAGAAGATAACGTGATGTAATTATTACCCACAAAAGTGTGGTGCTTTTATATAGCTCCAAGAAAGGAAGATCTGACACATCTTCTGTTAGAGAGCCTAAGTAGAAACCTGCCCCCTCCCATGAATAAATAAGTAACCATTTTCACAGAACTAATTAAAAGTAGTCAATAGAAGTCTCAGCATCTTGGAATGTAGGGAACATTTCGCATGTTATTTAAAATTTTCTAACAGAATGAACAAAGCATTGACAATATTAGGAAATATATTTCTAATAGTGCCAAGATGTTGTCTTCAAAGGAAAGGTGTGATAAGAAAGGTGAATAAGGTTAGTTAAGGTTCTGCCTTCAATAGATTATGCTACTGAAATCTTCTCTATGTGGTACTCCAGCAGGTACCAGACTGGGGAATGTTTTCCCACTGAGTATTTCACACCTGTGGGATAGTAGAGCTTAAACATCCCTTTTGAACTGAGCCTTCAGAAATCCTGTCTGTGGCCACCACCTGCTTTAAACCTTTAAGAACAGTCGTGTTGTCAGTGCCACCAATATTTTAGTACAGGATTCAGGCTTTTTCCCTGGTACAGAAGAGATTATACATTTGGGGGCACGCACATACCTGCTGGTAGTGAAGGGGGTGGGTACTCTCTGTGCATCTTCAGGTGTGTACACATTTCAGAGAGAGCACAGAGGCTAATAAGAGGATGGGGAGCAGCAAGGTAAAGTCTTTGTCTAGGCTGATGTCTCCTTTTCCTCATCTTAAGTACAAGCAAAGGCTGGTGGAGGCTTTTACAGAACAAATCCTACCCCACTTCTCCACGGAGAGTCCCCAACGTCTACTGCCCGTGTTGGACAGAGTCTACCCCGTGACTGCAATCCAAGAGGCCCATGCATACATGGAGAGTAACAAGAACGTGGGCAAAATCGTCCTGGAACTGCCGCAATGAAGGACAAGTTTCCCAGGACAAACTGGAGAGAGTCCATAGTACGCAGGAAAGAGATCGGGTGCTACTCCAAGCCGCCCTGTAACCCACTGGCCCTCCCTGGTCTGGCCTCCGGATCCGTGTAAAAACAATCGAATGAAATAAAGAGTAGATTTGAAGGGCTGCCCTCTCACTGTGGCGGCCCCAGACCGCGGCCTGCGCCGCGGCGCGGGTGGGGTGGGAGTCGCGACCGCAGTTGTCGCAGGGATTACAGCACAGGCCCGAACAGTGGGTACTCAACTCTGGCTGGTCCAGGGCCGGGGGTCGGGGGTCGCGGGTCGCGGATACCGAACGAAAAGCGTCAGCCACCACTCAACGTGCCACAACCCCCGAAAGCCTCTCTGCGCAACCCCAGAAGCCCGGGCCCACCCACCAGCCCTACGCCCACGCCGCGCGCGCCTCACTGAGACCCGTCCCACGTCAGGACCCACCCTATCCCCCCGCAACTCACCTGGGAGCGCCCCTACCTCGTCCCGCTCTCCTAGGCCCCGCCCCTCTGGCCGGATCCTCGGCTCAGGGCCGCCTCGACAGGAACACCGCCCCTTCCTTAACCCAGGCCCCACCCTTTCCGGTGCGGCTTGTACAAGGGTCTCGAACGCTCGCCTTTCATCTTGCCGTTCTCTCTTTTCGTTTCAGGTTCCTCTTGCCCCGGAGTCTTTTCGAAAGGGGACATTACGTCAGCACGTCTGGACGTAAGAGGGAGATCATCCGGCGTGTAGTAAAGCTTCCGGCGGAGGTTAGATGTTGATGTCCTGGGTTTGAGGCCGTGTGGCGGTCCAGTAGAGCGAGCTCCGGAGGTGTCCGGAGGAATTCCAGTGTTTGTTGCAGTAACTTTATCAGCCCGCCAAGATGGCGATGCAAGCGGCCAAGAGGGCGAATGTGAGTTTCCGGGCATTCAGCAGAAGAATGGGGCGGGGTGGGGGGGGGGGCGGACCTCTCTCCTGGACTTTTTTAACGGCGTGGAACTGTGTATTTTGCCCCTGCTCGGTTCCCCAGGCCAGAGTAGCCCAGAATTTACTGTCCTAATACTGGCAGTTCCTTCCTGGCCCCGTCCTTGCGGATATGCTCCTTGAGCCACAGATCCGGCTCCACCCCTTTTGAGAGTTCCCTCGGTTTCTTACTCTGGTGTCAGTCCTACAGCATTTGTTGCTTGATCAGCACCTACGACCTAGCGACAGGATTTTCGCCAAGTCAGGAGCACAGCCTAGTCTGCAATAAGTAATCTAATATCTCACAGGCATCCAAAGCCTGGGATTCTCCTAAAGTCACGGAGCTTTTTGGATTTTTCATTAATGTTTTATTTATTTTTTTTAATATTTTATTTATTTTTTTTTTATTTGAGAGAGAGAGATCACAAGTAGGCAGAAAGGCAGGCAGTGAGAGGGGGAAGCAGGCTCCCTGCTGAGCAGAGAGCCCGACGCGGGGCTCGATCCTAGGACCCAGGGATCACGACCTGAGCTAAAGGCAGGGGCTTAACCCACTGAGCCACCCAGGCGCCCCTCATTAATGTTTTAATATGTTTGAGCACCTACTATGTGCCGGAATTGAGAGGGAAGAATTCAGAAGTTAAATTTACCGAACATGTACTGTGTGCCTGACACTAGTCTAGGTATTGGGGATACAACAGTGAATAAAACGAAAAGCTCTTCTGTTTGCATTCTTTTGTTAGAGAATGGGGTATTATAGAAACCTAAGAAAAACTGTCTCAAGTAAAAGAGGGTAGGTCAGCTATAAGGCTGAGAGGTATAGGATAATAAAGACAGAAAATTGGACTTGGTGAGATGCAGAATTTTGGTGACCTTGATGATGATCATTTCAGTGAATGAAAACTTGGTTGCAGTGGGATGAAAAGAGGTTGGAAGTTAAGAAAATAGAGATAGCTCTTCAAGTTTTCATGTGAATAGGGAGTACAGAGGTTGAATAATAGTTGACTTTATATAAGGTGTATTTGTGTGTCACTGAGAATGATCCAGTAAAGTGGGAGAAATTGATGATGTGGGAGAAAGATGAGGTAAGTTCAGGAGTGAAGGTTTTGAGTAGAGGATGACAGGAAGAGGGGGTGGATATGGATGAATTTAGATCGGTGGCTTTAGTGACATGAATATAAGGTACTTACCATTTGGTGATGTATACTTTCTTCAGTAAGCAAGAGGGAAGATCAATTCCTAGGATAGGCAAGGAAGAGGTTACAACGCAACTCAGATGTTAGAGGGAGTGGTGGTGGTAAGGTTTGAGGAAAGAAAGTGTGATACAGTATCGCACAGAATGAGAAAGCAGAGTTATGGGAGAAGTGTATTATAATTGGAAGTGTCGATTGTCTGTTTGAACTCAGTCCGAAATCTTAAATCTAAAACTTTATTGTACTTATTTGTTGACCATTTGTCACCACTACTAGTTTGAGGACAGGGAATAAGTATCCTCTTTTTCCTCTTATACAACACTTAGCTTAATACCTTAAAAAGCTGCCAGTTCAATAGTTTTTGAGCAAATGAGTATCCAGTATGTAATTGAATATGTTAATAAGAACACAGGAGTGAACTCAAGATAGGAGATATATATTTGAGAGTCATCAACTTACTGTGGAAACCATCTGTGTGGTTAAGAGATCACAGAGTGTAGAATTAAGGAGAGTATACAAAGGGTCAAAAAGGATTCTAAAAGTAAAACTCTGTAGAAGAGCATATTTTAATGGCAAAGAAGAGTGAGAAGAACTAGCCAGAGTGGTAGGAAATAAAAGTGCCAAAAATAGTCAACACTGTCAGAAGCCTCAGAAGTTAAGTGTGACGACAATTGAACACTGAAGTTAAAAGGTCTTAATGTGGGGCGCCTGGGTGGCTCAGTGGGTTAAGCCTCTGCCTTCAGCTCAGCTTGTGATCTCAGGGTCCTGGGATCAATCCCCATGACGGGCTCTCTGCTCCTCGAGAAGCCTGCTTCCCCCACTCCCCCTGCCCCATTTGCTTCTCTGCCTACTGGTGATCTCTCTCTCTGTCAAATAAATAAATAAAATCTTTTTAAAAAAGAAAAAAATAAAGTCTTAATACCAGGGTGCCTGGGTGGTGCAGTCTTTTAAGCACCCAACTGTTGGTTTTGGCTGAGATCTTGATCTCAAGGTTATGGGATCTGGCCCCATGGTGGGCTCCATGCTCAGCACAGAGTCTGCTTGAGATTCTCTCCCTGTACCCCTCCCTACCCCTTTTTAAAGGTCTTAGTGTAAAAGTATTTTCATCAGTGCTGAGGTAGAAGCTGGGTTGTGGTAGGTTGATGAGTGTCAGTGAAGTAAAGATTATGAGGTAAGTGAGTATATAGATCTTTCCAGATGCTTGATTGAAAGATAAGAAAAAAGCAAAATAGGGTAGTAAGTAGGGAGCTGATAAGTTCAGGGAAGGCAGAAACCTTCCAGATAAGACCAGATAAGAGTCATCAATGGGAGTTTCATTGTCTTGGAAGCAAGAACAGTTCCCTTTGTTCTTTCCCATATATGTCTGAGGCATTGAGGACTTTTAAATGAGGTTGAAAATCCTTGTTTAACTGCAGTGACTGGAAGCCTGGGTTTTATAGTAGCCTTTACTAGTTCCTACTAATAGTCCTCCCTAAAACTAGTGCCCAGTTGCTTTTCTGAAAAGAATGCCATTTTCAGGAATATCAGATTATAATCTTTTAAAAATAATTCTTATTCTTGACTATTATGTGGGGTTTTTATTTGCTTTTACTGTGAGAATTTATTTTTACTTATTTATTTATTTTTAAGATTTTATTCATTTAATTGACAGAGAGAGAGAGGGAGCACAAGCAGGGAGAATGGGAGAGGGAGAAGCAGGCTTCCCAATGAGCAGGGAGCCTGATGCGGGTCTCGATCCCAGGACCCCAGGATCATGACCTGAGCCAAAGGCAGATGCCCAGTGACTGAGCCACCCAGGTGCCCCTACTGTGAGAATTTATTATGAGACATTTTTTTTAGGTAGTAGCACTTCTGCCCCTGATTATAATAATAGTACATATTTCTCATTTTAGATTCGACTTCCACCTGAAGTAAATCGGATTTTATATATAAGAAATTTGCCATACAAAATCACAGCTGAAGAAATGTATGATATATTTGGGAAATATGGACCTATTCGTCAAATCCGAGTGTGAGTCTTACTGAGATTTTTGAAATGTCGTTTCATGAAAATGATTGTATCATCTCAGAATTATAGCTGGCAGCAAGGCCTAACCAAGAGCCTAGAGACTAAATGGATTGAAATCTGGGAGATGAGATTTTTTTTTTGTATGGAAAAAAATGACACCTTCCTGATCTAGCTCAGTGAGAGCCAAGAATAGTAGTTGTGAAATTAGAGAAGGCATGAAGTATAATGAATGGTTTGAGGGGAGCCGGTGGGAAAAGAAAGAACCTTTATCGCATAACTATCACTTGTAAAATCAGTATGATGCTGTGTTTTTTATGTGCACTAACTCTAATTTTCTCTCCTGTTTCCTTTACTGACTCCAGAATTTCTGAATAAACTGAGTAAGGAGCTCTACAAGTAACTGAGAAAAATTATTTTTTTTCCCAACCACAGCTCTCTATTGAAGATGGATTGGTTGATTGATTTTTAAAGATTTTATTTATTTGACAGAGAGAGAGACAGGGAGAGAGGGAACACAAGCAGGGGGAGTGGGAGAGGGAGAAGCAGGCTTCCCGCTGAGCAGAGAGCCTAATGCAGGACTCAATCCCAGGACCCTGGCATCATGACCTGAGCCAAAGGCAGACATCTAATGACTGAGCCACCCAGGCACCCCAAGATTTATTTATTATTATTACTTTTTTCTATTGAAGATTTAAAAGTATATGGGGGGTACCTGGGTGGCTCAGTGGGTTAAGCCTCTGCCTTCAGGTCAGGTCATGACCCCAGGCTCCTGGGATCGAGCCCCGCATTGGTCTCTGCTCAGAGGGGAGCCTGCTTCCCCTTCTCTCTCTGCCTGCCTCTCTGCCTACTTGTGATCTCTCTCTCTGTCAAACAGATAAATAAAATCTTTAAAAAAATAATAATAAAGTAAAATAAATAAAAGTATATGGGAGAATAATTGCAACACAAGT